TAAAATGTCAATGCACTCGCTGAGAAAGTACCACCGGCTACACCGCTGTTCGACTGAAGGTCACAGCAAACAGGCGACATTGTCACCTGTCTCAAAAATGTAATCTCTAACGAAATTTCAGTAATGCATTCCAACAGAGTAATCTCATTATTCACTTATGTCCTGATAAGCAAGGGGGGGGGGGGGTTGCACATTAAAGGTTACGTGCTGTGAGAATCAAAAACAATCATTGTTCAAAGCCAGGCCAATGTGTAAACGATAACTTGTGCTCAGAGAGCGCTTGTACAGGAATGCTTGTTTTGAAAAGGACTCGCCACTTATTCTATTGCTATTAAATCACAATCTATGTTGCTTTGTCGATAGGTTCTGCTGTGACAAACCTGCTTAACACCTCCACAACTCACGCGCAAACATAACTCGAAGCGTTTAGAACGCATCACAGAGCGTCAGTTGCCATCGCTTGACGAGGGCGAATGAAGGGTAGGCATTCCTATCTCTCGTCCTCACAATCGTCCCTGTTGCGAAACTCAAAAGGTTAGGGCTGTGGAAAAGATAATAATAGTAATTTACATTTGTAAGGCGCATTTAAACGCCCCCGCCGAATCACAATCGCAGTATTCTATGTTTAAACTTAGTGGATGCCTAAACAAGCAGGAGGGAGACAAGTAAGACACATTTATTTTTGCTAGTGAGACCCAGGATATAAAAAAATGCCACAAGGCAATATAACATGACCCCCGATTGTCTTGTATCGGAGCGTGGAACAAGAATTCGCGCAAAGAAAAACACTCTCTAACAATCACCGTATTGTTAAATAATGAAATAAAACAAATATAGATAAAATATGTGAGATTTGAATCATACTCTTTTGTTTTATTCGGTAAAGTCACGTATGTAAAACGAATTAAAATAAAATAAAATAAACAATTAAAACACAACGTTTCGGAGGCAACGCAAGCTTCCGTCTTCAGGTGGGACCAGTCACAGCCAAAATCGCTGCACCAAGTGGCGAGGCTCTGGGAACCTAGCGCTTAAATATAGGTTAAGGTAGGGGGGGGGGGTGTGGGAGGGGCCATGTGGGTGGGTCGTTGTGTGTGTACAGGGATGAGTTAATCCGTCTTTTGTTGTGTGGAGGGTGAGGGAGATGGGTCACTGTGTGTGTGCAATATAAACGGACAGAATATCGGCCAGGATGTGCTGTAAGGGAGCAGTAGAAAAAAGAAAAATACAAAAGTTCGGGAAGAATATGTTTGGTATACCACTGCTTGAAATTGCTGTTAGAAATTAGTTAGTGTTTGGTATGATTCAAAACATCTTTCCAGTGGTTACTTAATTTGAAACCATCCTCTCGGTTGAAATTATGCCTGTTTATATATCTGAATGGCTTCGTGGACAAATCTTTGGTGGTAACCTGTAGGTTTACAAAGAACCTTGGTATCGGAAAAGACAATCTCATGATCACCCATAGCGTTGTAACAGTAATCAGCCACAGCAGATGAATTCGTTCTGCCGTGTTTTAAATCTGATTTATGTTCGCGAATTCGATCAGAGACATGTCGTTTTGTCTCCCCGATATAACAATCACCACAGGTACAGCTCAATTTGTAAACACCGGGGTACTGTAAATCAGGGATGACATCCTTTACGGATGGGATCAGATCACGAATTTTGTGTACTGTATTGAACCGGACTTGGATCTTGTGTTTGTTTAGAATTTTGGAAATATTTTTAGTAACGCCTGCTATGCAAGGGAGTGTGATGGTTTTGATCGGAGTATCATGTGGTTGTTTATGTATGGTAGGAGAAACAGCTTGGCGGATGGTACGGTCAGAGTATCTGTTCCTCCTAAGGGCCAGCCATACCAATTTCAACTCACTGGTCAAGTGGTGTTGGTCTGAAATGCAATGAGCCCTATGGTGTAACGTTTTGATGAGAGAGTTATTTTGAGCCGGGTGGTGGTGGGAATCCGGTTTCAAGTAGGATTCTGTGTGGGTGGGCTTTCTGTAAACAGAATGTCCCAACGAGCCATCAGACCTCCTCTCAAACAGAACATCTAAGAATTGAAGCTTGCCATCTTTCTCTATTTCCATGGTGAATCTGATGGAAGGGTGTCTGGAATTGATGTGGTCCAGGAAAAGGTTCAAAGCTGGGAGGCCATGTGGTCAAATGACGAAAGTGTCATCCACATATCTCTTCCAAAGGGAAGGACTGAGGGCGGATGTCTGGATGGCGTCCGATTCAAATTTCTTCATGAAAACATTGGCTATCACTGGTGACAAGGGAGAACCCATGGGAGTACCCTCATTTTGCTTGTTAAAGGTACCATTCCAAGTAAAGTAGGTGTTGGTAAGGCAGTGCCTAACCAGCGCAGGTACTTCGGGGTTTAGTCCATGTTGGACCAGATCCTCAATTATTTTAATGGTGTCAGGTACTGGGACCTTGGTGAACAGAGACACCACATCAAAGCTGACGAGGATATCGTCAGGGGCCAGTACAATGCCTTTGACCATAGAGACCAATTGGGATGAGTTAAGTACTGCTGAGGTGGTCTTGCCAGTAAAAGGTAGCAGAGTATCTGACAGAAAACGGGCTAGTTTGTAGGTAGGGGAGTTGATCGTGGACACGATGGGTCGTAGTGGGGTACCTTCTTTGTGGATCTTGGGAAGACCATAAAATCTAGGTCTTGCAGCGGAGGGTTTTAGAGAGGGAAGTTTAGTTGGTTCGATTAGGGAGGTCGAATTTGTGATGATCTTGTTGGTTTTAATCGTTAGTCTGTTGGTAGGGTCATTTTAAATTTTTGAGTAACTCCCATCACTGAGTAGGTCCTGAATTTTATTGTTGTATGAGTTTTTATCCATAATTACAGTGACATTGCCCTTGTCGGCTGAGAGGATGACTATGTCATCCCTCTCTTTTAATTTCGCGAATTCAGAGTGTTCACCTTTGCTGATGTTGCTAACGGGTTTCTTAGCACTCTTAAGAATAGTGGCTATTTCAGCTCTCGCTACGTCTGCTTGGATGTGTCCTATACCTTTGAGGGCTACATCGACCTGAGAAATGATATCTACTGGTATATGTTTTGGGGTGACAGCGAAATTTAGTCCTTTAGCCAATACTGTTTTCAGATTGTCCGAAATCGGGGTACTACTCTGATTGATAACAATTTTGTTAACATCTAGTTTTGTGATCTGTGGAACTGGGTTTTTCTTTGAAAGGCGGTTGAATTTAGCAATTAGGTTAGCCTTGCATTTGACTGACAGTGAATCAGCAGAGGAAGCAGTCATGTTATCAACGTGGTTCCAATCATAAGGTGTCATTTTTTGTGTTAACATTAAATGAGATTGTAGGAGAGTCTTGTCTAAACAGTCGAGTTCAAATCGGAGTAACCTAATCCTCTCTGAGATTAATGATAGACTAGCCTTAAACAGAATCTGTTTAGAGTTCGGTGACGATACAGCGGCAGATGTGAGAGTGAAAGCGATGGGTATTACCTTCTGGTCGCGGCATCTTTTGAGGAAGGTCAGCGTCTTGATGAGCTGTGACTTCTTGTCTCGTTGTCTGTTAAAAGCTCTAACAGATAGGTGAAAATCTTCCCCGTAGAAATTGTTAATTCTAGATTTGAAGCTTTCGTGACTGCAAGGATTCATACTCTTTGGTTTTATTCGGTAAAGTCACGTAGGTAAAACGAATTAAAATAAACAATTAAAACACGACATTTCGGAGGCAACGCAAGCTTCTGTCTTCAGGTGGGACCAGTCACAGCCAAAATCGCTGCACCAAGTGGCGAGGCTCTGGGAACCTAGCGCTTAAATATAGGTTAAGGTAGGGGGGGGGGTGTGGGAGGGGCCATGTGGGTGGGTCGTTATGTGTGTGCAGGGATGAGTTAATCCGTCTATTGTTGTGTGGAGGGTGCGGGAGATGGGTCACTGTGTGCAATATAAACGGAGTTAATCCGTCTTTTGTTGTGTAGAGGGAGCGGGGGATGGGTCGTTGTGTGTGTGCAGGGATGAGTTAATCCGTCTTTTTGTTGTGTGGAGGGTGAGGGAGATGGGTCACTGTGTGTGTGCAATATAAACGGACAGAATATCGGCCAGGATGTGCTGTAAGGGAGCAGTAGAAAAAAGGAAAATACAAAAGTTCGGAAAGAATTTGTTTGGTATACCACTGCTTGAAATTGCTGTTAGAAATTAGTTAGTGTTTGGTATGATTCAAAACATTTCCAGTAGTTGCTTAATTTGAAACCATCCTCTCGGTTGAAATTATGCCTGAATCAGTTCGTGTGGAGGTGCGAGGTGATTACGTGAAAGAATCGTGAGAGGTGGTGGCGGCTAGGGGAGGCCTTCATCCAGCGGTGGATTGACCATGGATGATGATAATGATGTTAATGATATGCTATATACAGCACACCAGAAGATGAATTTGAATTGTGTTTGTGGGTTGCCATGAACCTGTAACATCATGTGGAATCTTACTCTCTCGCAATATGGGCGGCAGTGGCAAAATAGCATTTGGGGGCAGAAAAATGCCGTGACTATAAAATTCATTTTCAGATTATTCAAGGCCACGGAATGAAAGTGTCTCGCAGCCAAGCTACAAACCACCTTTTATTGCTTAACATTTCTACGCTGTCCTTTACCTCTCCTCACATGTGTACCACAATACCCGACGGATTTACCAACCACAGCTCGTGATTATTATTTAGGACATCCAATGCCGTTCTGCAATATTCCCACTTTAACACTGCCGTGTAGCGGTTTGGTTTATCGCCGCATGTATTGAACGTGCTCGTGTTTTGCGCAGTGCAAGCTGCAATACGGAATACATCGTTAAAGGGATATTTTACTTTTCACTCCTTTGGTGCATTTTATTGAGACATAAAAGATCAAATATTTTTGCTCATTCAATCTATAGTCATGTTAGCCGGTTTGTGCATTCCGCAAGCTTTGTTCGCACCTTCATGACATAACCTTTTGTGCCCTGTTCCCAACACCCACCTGCAGGTCAATACTTTGCGAGCACAATGATTATTGTGGCCTTCTCAGTGGTGGTCACGGTCATAGTCTTGCAATACCATCACCACAACCCCGACGGAAAGAAGATGCCACAGTGGGTGAGTGGCTTTACTTCATATACAGACAGCAGCTGTGCTCACACACAAACCTTTACCCCACTATATGTAAGCACACGGATCGCATAAACATAATACATTTTTTAGTCATCAGTTTAATTTAAGTTTATACTGTTTATAAATAGAAAAATGCATGTCAAGGTGGGAACGATTTTGAAATATTATTTTTGCTGTTAGTACTGTTTGATTACATTCGGGGAGCGGCGATGCAGTGGTTAGCGCACTGCACTGTGGAACTGAACTCTGAGTTTGATTTCTGACGATGGCTAACATCAGTGGCGAGTGATATCTGAATCAATTCATCCACACGCATTGCAAGTATGATCAAACACCGCCCACGACTGATGCAGTGTAGGGAAACCTGTATGCAGCAGGGGGCTGGCAAAGGGCTTCAGAGTAGTAATAATACAGGACTGTATTACTAAAATGTCTCCACACTTGCACGATACAAATTTCCTCGTAATAATTATAAAGCATAAAAGCGTAGGATTTATAGAGAAAGGGCTGTTCAAGGGTTTGGTTTGCTATTTCGCTTTGGAGATACGGGCTCCCACCATAATAATGTGGCGTTTTTTACCGCTGGCATTGGGTTGCCAATGGAGATGAATCCGACTTCATTCATCATTTGAGCAAGGAGACACTTCGACTTAGCACGAAGCATGAAAGAAAAGATTTCAATGGAGTTGTTAAACCCATGATTTTCATGTTGTTATGACCCCAATGTTCTCAATGTGACATTTGCTCCAATCGTACGCTTTCACTTTCACAGTTAAACATAAGCCATATCATTACCCAGGCAAGCATCACGGAGTTTTCAAAGCTTTAGGATAATATGCAAATTCTTGCGAGTTTTTTTTGCACGTTAATTTCACCTTGATGTCACGGTCCGCACTGCAGATATGTGATACGTTTTTTTAATACAATGTACAAATTTGTCGTATCGTTGAATAAAATATGGGGAATTATTTTGGTCAAGGTCAAATTGTCTGAACATTAACCTTTTATTGTTTCCTTCGACTTTTACTATCAATTTAAAATAAGTTAAAAACACAGAACAATGAAATGTTTATACATTTAAATAAATAATAGACTATTAATACAGCAAAGATGCAATGGCAAAACCTTGTGATTATATCAAAATCAGAATACAGTGAGGGAAAAAAGTATTTGATCCCCTGCTGATTATGTACGTTTGCCCACTGACAAAGAAATGATCAGTCTATAATTTTAATGGTATGCTCATTTGAACAGTGAGAGACAGAATAACAACAACAAAATCCAGAAAAACGCATGTCAAAAATGTTATAAATTGATTTGCATTTTAATGAGGGAAATAAGTATTTGACCCCCTCTCAATCAGAAAGATTTCTGGCTCCCAGGTGTCTTTTATACAGGTAACGAGCTGAGATTAGCAGCACACTCTTAAAGGGAGTGCTCCTAATCTCAGCTTGTTACCTGTATAAAAGGCACCTGTCCACAGAAGCAATCAATCAGATTCCAAACTCTCTACCATGGCCAAGACCAAAGAGCTCTCCAAGGATGTCAGGGACAAGATTGTAGACCTACACAAGGCTGGAATGGGCTACAAGACCATTGCCAAGCAGCTTGGTGAGAAGGTGACAACAGTTGGTGCGATTATTCGCAAATGGAAGAAACACAAAAGAACTGTCAATCTCCCTCGGCCTGGGGCTCCATGCAAGATCTCACCTCGTGGAGTTGCAATGATCATGAGAACGGTGAGGAATCAGCCCAGAACTACACGGGAGGATCTTGTCAATGATCTCAAGGCAGCTGGGACCATAGTCACCAAGAAAACAATTGGTAACACACTACGCCGTGAAGGACTGAAATTCTGCAGTGCCCGCAAGGTCCCCCTGCTCAAGAAAGCACATATACATGCCCGTCTGAAGTTTGCCAATGAACATCTGAATGATTCAGAGGACAACTGGGTGAATGTGTTGTGGTCAGATTAGACCAAAATGGAGCTCTTTGGCATCAACTCAACTCGCCGTGTTTGGAGGAGGAGGAATGCTGCCTATGACCCCAAGAACACCATCCCCACCGTCAAACATGGAGGTGGAAACATTATGCTTTGGGGGTGTTTTTTCTGCTAAGGTGACAGGACAACTTCACCGCATCAAAGGGACGATGGACGGGGCCATGTACCGTCAAATCTTGGGTGAGAACCTCCTTCCCTCAGCCAGGGCATTGAAAATGGGTCGTGGATGGGTATTCCAGCATGACAATGACCCAAAACACACGGCCAAGGCAACAAAGGAGTGGCTCAAGAAGAAGCACATTAAGGTCCTGGAGTGGCCTAGCCAGTCTCCAGACTTTAATCCCATGGAAAATCTGTGGAGGGAGCTGAAGGTTCGAGTTGCCAAACGTCAGCCTCGAAACCTTAATGACTTGGAGAAGATCTGCAAAGAGGAGTGGGACAAAATCCCTCCTGAGATGTGTGCAAACCTGGTGGCCAACTACAAGAAACGTCTGACCTCTGTGATGGCCAACAAGGGTTTTGCCACCAAGTACTAAGTCATGTTTTGCAGAGGGGTCAAATACTTATTTCCCTCATTAAAATGCAAATCAATTTATAACATTTTTGACATGAATTTTTCTGGATTTTTTTTGTTGTTATCCTGTCTCTCACTGTTCAAATAAACCTACCATTACAATGATAGACTGCTCATTTCTTTGTCAGTGGGCAAACGTACAAAATCAGCAGGGGATCAAATACTTTTTTCCCTCACTGTATGTATTCATACTGGAGGAATCCGATGAGCTATAAAGCAATTTTTCACAGATATCCAGCAGCATGCAATTCCTGAAATGCGTTTTCATGCAAAAATTACAAAATACATTTATATGGAAAAAAAATCATATAGTTTAGCAACTCAAAGGTTAAAAACGGTTGAACATTAATTCATGGAACATCGAGTCAAGTGACATCGATATTTATGGTGAGAGTGCTTTTGTGTGCATTGTTTTGTCCGTTACTTGTCCTGAAAATGAAAAAAAAACTGGGTGAAAGATTGAAAATCAGTAAACGGTTCTGCATTATTGCTTCATAAAAGTCTAATATGTTATCAGCAGTCGCTACCTTTGTTGATACTAAATGACTCTATAATGCAACACCTGTGGGAGGCTTTTGTGCAGCATGCTGTATTTGTTCACTTTGTCCACTCGCAGTGACACAAAGCGCAACCACATATAACATCTTAAATGAACATGTATAGTGAGCTGTGCACGAGTGAACGAGTGTGGTGGCAATGTTTGATGCCTGATTGCACAATTAGAAAATGTTCCTTCGTGTTAAAACGCAATGCGATATTCAAATAGGTAGGCTTAAATTTTGATTTAAAGCTTTCGTGACTGCAGGGATTCATATTATTGTTTTATATTTTTATTATTTTATTGTTTCCCTTCTACGTGACTTTACCGAAAGAACCAAGAATAGGTAGGCTTAGTCATCATGTTTGTCCCAAGCCAATTGCATGCCATTTTCTGGGAGGATATTCTGTTTCATCTAAGCACGCCATCTGCTGTGCCCTGGTTACTGAATAGCAATCAATGGCAATGGCACCTAGTGTGTTGGCACGATTATCGGAATGAACTGTTTTATTTACCACTTGCTTCCTGTATATTATACCTAAATATGTTGAATTTAAATATCACATCAAGTTTCTAGTGTGCTAAGTTGGCACCGCTGAGATCCTGTGTTCAGAGATAGCTGCCCATGATTAAACCGGATTCTCAGTTGTACTTCCTTCATAGTCGCAGCCTGGTCACCAATGACAAAGGCATCGATTTTTGCACTTAATTTGGTTAAATCGCACTCCGACAAAAAAATATATAGCAATTGGACTGACATCTGAAAGTGCTGCACCCTAGTGTGGATAAGGTCACCTGAAGTCATTTCAGAAGCAGTTCTGTGATATCTACTTCCACGGGCCATTCTATAACATGGGGTAATGCATGGTGTGCGAGAGTTATTAATGGATGCTTCATTTCATGACATGACACCGATAACACATTTGGCATTAAATTGCCAAATATAATATTTACATCACGATACATTAAAACTTTAAAGTTTAGATTGGTCACATTGTGAGATTTGAAGACTTAGCTGATAACATAAACATTTATTTGCGTGTAGAACAAAGACAATTTGACATTTTTTGTTTGCCTGTTTACAATCAAATATCCTGCAACCAAATATATTCAAATTCCATTAAAAAAAATGAACCGACAAATGTTTCCGACATAAAATGTTCAATTGTGGCCTAATGGCAAATAGAAAAATTGCCTGTCGACAAAAATCCATAGCAAGTCTGCTAAAAGTGGCCTTTGCAGGAAAACCAAAGTGTAAGGTTAAGTTGAAGCAAAGTGTGAACGATTGTCAGGGCAGATGGATCGCGGGCAGGACCGAAGAGCTCTTTCATTACCCTCAGCATTCTCCCCACTGCCTCTCCGTGTTACTGGAAATGCATCACCACATGTTCAGCCAGCAGCACAAACAATCCAACCGAGCAATTATTATTCCCAACATGCAACACACTGCCAGCGACACAGCGAGATGCCTCGGGGAACAAAGCAGCTATTTATCACTTCAACAGCACTGCTTCCTGTAAATGCAGCCATCAACTCCAACTTAGGGAAATCATTGAAAAGCACCATGCCTTTCGCTCTAGAAAATATATGAAATGTTTAGTTTTCAAATGCACTTAATAGCCCTCGATTAAAATGATTCCTTCAAGACATGTTTAATGTCGGCATCGCTTTACTTGTTTTAACTGAGATTACGATATCCATAATTATGGTAACTGCAAGATCCGACCGTGTCCGTCCAGTGTTCTCCGAGCTGCATTGGCTTCCGGTTGCCGAATGAATATATTACAAGGTCGCACTCGTGACACACAAATTGCTTGCCACAAGTGAACCACAATACCTTACTGATCTCGTCAAGGAACACAAACCATCACGAAAACTCCGGTCATCCTCGCAGCGGCTTTTTGCTGGCCATCGAACAAAGACGATCACTGCATTGCGCTACTTTCAGGTGCGCTTCTGCGGCCGTCTGGAATGCTCTTCAAGCCGATTTTAGGAAGCCACTGGAGCTATGCACTTTTAAATCATCTAGATTGAAAACTCATTCCTTTAGAACTCAATTTTGAATTCTACAAAGTATATTTTATCGCTTCAAGTCGACACATGATTAAAACATGGGATCCAGCATTATCCATGCTTTCACATTCGTGAATGATGTATTTTACTTATTAAAATCTTGGCCTGCACTTGTATTTGATCTCAGCCAATTTTATAAACTCTTGGGTCAAGACCAACTCATTAAACGTAAGCATCTCATTGTTTGATACATATTCAATCAGTTAACATTTTCTCATGCAGAACCAAATATTATGGTACTTTATGTTTACCTTTACAATTACAATTGAGTAACCTTCAGCTTAAAATTTGTCATAAAAAATATACATTTCAGTGGTTAAGATCCTACATCGGTAGGGGATGCTGTAAAGTGATTTGTCTCTGGCTATTTCCAAGTATGGATACGCGTTCAAACACGTTTCGTCCCATCTGTCCACCTGGCTTAGGTTCGCGTTATCCTGCTCGACTGGTGTGCCTGGTTCCTGCGCATGAAGCAGCCCGGGAGAGAGCGACATGAGCTCGCCCGCCGCCTTAGCATCCTGCACCGCAACAGCATGGTCAGCTTGGACCTCGCTCTCCTGTCGGCTAGCGGCATACATAAGAAAACCAACGGACACGGCGTCTTCATCGGCTTCACAAACCCCGACGCGCCACAGCAGCCGCCCACCAGCGACTCGGGCGTCATGTGCGGCCGGGAGACCTGCTTCAATAGCACCGGGCCCGAGGAGGAGCCTGGCAATGCCCAACGTGGAATGCCTCCGGACCCCACTGCGGGTATGAGCAGCGAGATCACCAAAATCTTGATAGAGCTACGCTACATCGCGGGGCGCTTCCGCACGCAGGATGAGAACGAGGCGATCGCGTCGGAGTGGAAGTTTGCTGCCGCCGTGGTGGACCGGCTGTGCCTGCTTGCCTTCACCCTCTTCACTATCATCTCCACCATCTCCATCCTCATGTCTGCACCACACTTCACTGAGGCTGTGGCCAAAGACTTCACATGAGTGGAACGGTCGGTGTAAAGATACCCCAGACTTGTGATCTTTTCATCCATTTGCTTCAGGTGTTCCCTGTGACATTGCCAACATCGCAAGTGAGCTATTGAAGCTTTAGTAAAAGTTGATAATGGTGTAAAATTACATTCTACAGACGAATACAATTATTAATTTAAACAATGTAACAGCTTTTCCTGCGGTCCTTATGTAAGCCATGGTGATTGTTCTTTATCCTGGTGAGAGCCCACTCAGATTGTCTTTTTTCTGAGAGCTGTCTGGAAAATTGTGATGAAGAGTCATTTAAATAATTTAAGGCACTTCGCTATCAGGTATTCTAACAGTTACAATAGTCCTCACTTGCGAGTGATGATGTCACAGGCTGCAGGTTCCTTCATTGAAGATGGTGCGTTTTTGGCAATTTACCACAGAAATTACCATATGGTTATGGGATGTTAACCACCAACTGTGAAAAATAGGGGATAGTAGCGAGCACAATTCCTACAAGGGATGTCCAGTTGCCATTTGTACTCTACAGTACATTTTCATTTGTATATTGTCATAAAGTAATAATGCATTTCATCAAAATAATAAAACGTTAATTATTTCAAAAGCAGCCAAACCGTAATTCACAGACTGGGAATGATAACAGTGTATGATAATGGAAACATGGCACAATAATTCAATATCATGTCCCATGTGCTTAATTTACTTGCAATGTAATTCATTTTCCAAGTCAAACTAGTGCCCTGTGTTTTTCTCAATTTATCCACAGAGATTGACAAAACTCTAGTGATACTGTGAACATTTTACAGATATAATGCTATTTCACGTGTGAAAAAAAACAACATTGGTTTAGCAGTGACATTAACGGAGCTGCATGCCAACAATATTACAGTTCTCATTGTGTGCTGAAAATCTGCTCATTGCTTTTGTAACACGCTGTCAGTTGTAACAAACAACAGTTTGACAGATAACAGATAGAGATATATTCAAGAACACATTTTGGAGAAAACAAGTCCAATCGACTAAAGGTTGAGTAAGCAATGGCGTTCTCAATTCCGCGGAATCTTTTTTACACTTGGCACAATCGCTATTTTTCAGAAGTGATTTTTGTTTTCCATGATAAACTGTTAATGTCGGAAAGGATACATTTTGATTGAAAGCTTTCGTGACTGCAGGGATTCATAATCTTGGTTCTTTCGGTAAAGTCACGTAGAAGGGAAACAATAAAATAACACAAGCAATCATCATCAGGTGTGAAAACCACAGCAAGAAAATTTTCATCATCAGGTGTGAAAACCACAGCAAGAAAATTTTCTTGCTGGTTTTCACACCTGATGATGATTGTTTGTGTTGCAGTCGAAACGTCGTGAGAATTTTATCGTTTTATATTTTTATTATTTTATTGTTTACCTTCTACGTGACTTTACCGAAAGAACCAAGAATATGTCGGAAAGGATTTCAAAATGAGGCACAATACCATTTCAGCGTGACATTAAATATTTGATGAAACGATAAATTTACAACCACTGAGCATTTCAAACTCATCACAGTGCAGAATCTTTCATCAACATGCTTTAATAATCAATACAACTATTTAAAAAGATGGAATAACAAACGTATGCATTGTCTTCAAAAAGCAAAGCGAAAGCAAAAATCTTAAAAACAAATGAAATTCCGAAACAAATGTTACATCATAGGTTATACAAGAACCTTTCATTGTGTTTCTGCCAGGCAGCAACCTTATCTTGTGATTTAAGTAAAAATGTGTATACACAGTTCTAGAGTGCATACAGAGTTGTACTCAATTGCAGGGCAGCCAGTGCATCTAACTAGGGCTAATTTGATATTTTACTGAGTCGTAGACGTTTTCCCGTTTAAAATATGGTACTTGTAAAGTTAAGGTATAAATAAATATAACATGAATAATTCACAAGTTGTCCACCACGCAAGTCCGTGTAAAAATTGTGTGGGTATTCCTTCAAACAAACAAAGGTTATCATTATTATTATTGTTCATTACTTTAAAACTAGCATTTGTTTTTAATAACTGTGTTTTTGTGTTGTCATGTTTGTCTTGTTAAAGCAGTGACCTTTACAAGTTGATGTTTAGTTTATATATAAGCTGCATATACAAATGTATTGGGTTTACAAAATAAATGTTTATTTTCTTCATTAAACTCATGAAGGTTTTGCATATTTTGTTTCAATGTTAAACTTTTCAGACTGCAATACAAAAATTGCTGATTAAAAGATTACCAAAATGAAACGATCACAATTAATTTTTACTGAAGAGGGCGTTGCATGTTTTCCTTTTTTTTCTGCAAACATGAACATACTATGCATTACAAGCATCAGACAAAGAATCAATTGCAAGCATGGAAGATTAAATTGTATATTAATTCCAGATATATCTTTAATAGGATTCGATTTAAAAAAAAAACTGGTTATCACTGTTTAAAAAAAAAGGGTGGCCCATTCAGGATTGGCAACATGTAGTGCAGAATGGTGCTCGGTGTAATTGGTGTCAATCAGAGATGAGCATCATGAAGCTCCAAACAGATGGTGGTAGGTTATATAACTGTGAAGCTAAATCCATCCGCATTAAAACACAGCAGCTGAAGTTATACTTCAGCATTACCATACTGCTTGCCTATTCTGAAATACCTGGGCCCCAAAAGCAGCCAGACAGCATTTTGCATTAATTTTAAAGATAACACAAAGTGTGGAATAAATAACTTACAAAGATAAGATTTTTTATAAGTAAAAGTGTAATTTAGTTTGAACTTTTCCTGCAGTTTACTTTAAGATACTAGCAGTCTCAATTTAGAGGTAACACATCCGCTCATTTACATCCGTGACCATCAGAAATTATGACACCTTTCAGTGTCATTATAAAACACCTTTCAGTGTCATTATAAGACAGCTTTTAGTGTAATTTTCCAAGAACAGATGAGAAAACTGAAGGACATCAAAGCCCTAATCATTGAGTTGACAAAGCAGCGCTGCTCCTTTGGAGATCCAGTAGTCACTGTCCCTTTTAGAAGGTATGAAGACGGTGACAACAAAATTGGTTGAGTGACCTGAAAGGAAAAAGGTCAAATCTTTACATTTATCCTTACACCATTACCCTTTTCCCTGTCATAGTCTCACATTATTACACGCTGCAAATGAAACTTCGAAAATAAAAGCACATTATCTTGTTTAAACGTATTGTGATGTACTGTGTAAACAACTACATTTAAAACAATGATATGATAGTGCCTTTATACACCATGTACACAAACAAATCTATCTCACACAATGATTTATTTGTAAAATGCAAATGTCAACTCGAGATGAAGGCTAGAGGGATTACATGAAATGTGCATAGCAACCCTCCTCACAGAATGCACACACGGCTTTGCATTCTCAGCACAAGTACTTATCAGTCAATAATTCAATATTCATGCTGCAACCCAATAGGTCATGTTTCAGAATCAAAGGAAAGTCACTCAACCTGCATTACCAGGATTGGCAAGAACAGCCAAGCCTTGCAACACTCCAAGTAGCCACTTAGTGTAGTATATTTAAATGTGTTTTTGAATTCATTCAGATGTTGTCTATTGGTGCCTTTTTGTGAGCAATTTTCTTCATGATTTACAATGAATAGCAAATTATGGCGAAATGGTCAAACTGTGATGATGGGCAAAAGTCCTGCGACTTAGGTGTATCATTATTGTGAAGTTCCTCCTTAAAAATGCTAATAAAACCATGTTTTTGACATATATGAATCATCGTCTTTTACAGGAAGAAAAATACGTGCTCAGTTTTATAAAAAAAAATGATGTAATAATACAGCACATTTAATGTACCGAGTTATACATCTGATTTAAATCAGTATAAAACTTGAGCACATTTGGAGCCACAGTAAAATGCATTGAATAAAGCATATGAAGAACATTGTGTGGACGCTCAGAGCCATGAACTGATATGTTCGTTTAAGTTATTCCTTGTGACATAATATATATATTTAAACCCTGTAGATTACCAGATGTCTCTTAACATTAATAATCCATTTCTGGTGAAATTATTATATAGTACTGTAATTACATAATAAAATGCACTCCAGAGCAGAGTCGTTTTGATGCACGGTCATTTTAAACTAGCACATCCTAGGACTAAGACGTAATGAACCTTATTTAAAACTCACACACGTAAAATTACAAAAAGACTGCTCATTACTTTTGGATGTATAAAATACATTTTGATATAATGGTATGTACATTATTTGTCTATGTGATATAATTATTTGAATCAACCCAAGTAGCATGTTATGCAAACATGTGATAGTTACTAAATAACAAAGCATTTTGTAAAAACAAGTAAATATGTTAAATTATTAATGACAATTCGTAAAAGATCATTTGCATCCCAATGCATGAATGATAGAGTTTGCACATATCAACAACAAAAATAAACTAGCAAATACAAATACATCTTTGAAAATGCACGAGGAAAGGCCCTTTGTGTAATAATGTACACAGAGATGAACTTATATCACGGTCACGATTTCTCCATGCAGGATTTCATCATCCCTCGTACCTTACAATGAAAGCACTATGTAAAATGTAAATGTCCACATTACTACAGATCCTCTTCGTATTCATATGTTGAACATATACTTAATATTTAAGTAAATGACATGGATGCGTTAATGGTGATCTTTCGAAACTGCTGTAAAGTATGTTCATACATAAAACAAGGTTGCTTCTTTGTTATATAATGGAGCTATGCTGCCTATTCCAATTAAATGCTTAAAAGTCATGGCAGTTATTTTATATGGTTGTATTTTTTGTTTGGTTTTGTATATTTTTTAACTGCTGCCCATGATTTATTAATGACATCAAACCTTTGCCACAAAATGTGCTCATTAAATTTCAAGTAAAAAAATTTAAACGGGACATCTGGTGTCACAACTCCTGTTCGTAAAGCGGCACATTTTGAGCTGACCTATTTACCTGATTCGAGTGAAGTGTGAGCTGCGGCTTTGAGTGTTGGCTTATATAACTGCAAGGTGAGGAGCAATAGGGAGGAGATATACTATGTGTACAAGATATACAATGTTTGGTGCTACGTGTTGGAAATTATGTTGGTAATATGCTTACCAGTACATACTAAATTGCATCATTTTTTTCATTCCCTCTTCGCTCTATTCTATGTAAATATTCGTCACAATAAACGGTCAGATAATAACTCCTTTTTAGAATTATGCCATCAAATGGTCAAATTCAAAACCACATAGATGCAAAATGATACCTCGGTATAAAGTTACTGTGTTAGACAATCATTTATACACATGATCAAGCAAACCATAGACTTTAGTTCATCACTTAGCTGAAGTAGACATGTGAGGAAGTTATTTTAACAAAGTAACATTTCATGGAATGCTGACAAATGTGACAAACTAAGGTGACACTGATGCTGATGAAAAATATTTGAGTTAATTCACTAACCAGTAGTGGAGAGAGTTCCCGCACGGGCAGAAGTCTTGTAGAGTGGTGCGTGGTATAGAGATGGATCAGGCTGGTAGTTCTGGCATGGCTCAAAGTGCAGCACAGGCAGAGGAGGGTTCATCTGCGCTGCCAAAGCATCCTCCATCACCATGTCCTCGTCATCCCAGCGTGAGGCATCCATGAATAACCCATGCACCAGAACACCATCTTGCACAGCAGGCAACTGAACACACATAAAAGTCATCAAGTGTGGCAGTAAATGCATAGACTAAAACGCACACAATAGAATCAATGTAACGAGTATGCCTCTGCGCACATTACAAAGTCGGTATTAGATACGCTCCATGTGTTTCTATTCCCCCAGATCTACGCACAATGTGTACATAAGCATATAGTCAATGTACTTCTCTCGGGGAAATCGAGCACATTTGTTCTATAAATCAACCGCCATTACGAGATCCGATGCACACTTGGTAATCTATCGTAGCTAAATATCACCTCAGGCATCAACATAAGCCAAATGGGGGTTTGCGATACAGTACTTTCATATCGGTTGTGAACAACAAAGTATCTTTCATCGTGTTTTGTTTTTATTCAATTTGTACTATACCTTTGGCGTTTTTTTAATCCAATTTTATGTAATAACGAAGCAGTATTGCTTATTTATTTATATACATCACTTTAAATAATTGGGGAGGCCTTCCTCCAGCTGTGGACTGATCATGACTGAATAGGAATAACAATACCATTTAAAAAAAAATGAGACCAGAAGAGTTTCAGTAATGATTAAGCATCTCTTTCAGGAGGGTCCTATTATATTACATCAATTTCATTTTGCATAGGCATAGGAGCAAATCAGAGTGCTTTGGAAACACCCCCCAAAAATCGGTTTGGAACACTTTACATTTGTTCTGCTTTGTGTAAGAGCTTTGTTGCCTGACAGATGGGTTTCCAGGTTGCTGGATTATGGGGGGTGCGTACATCACACGTGGCGCAATATATTAAAGTAAGACACATAACGTACTTTGTAGGTCAATTTGAAAATTGCACAACTTAAAGAAATGAAGCTAACAGGAGCTAAGCTGTACGAGATGCAATTCATTTAAAAATAAAATACCAATCGGGTAGACTGTACAAAGCCAATGGCTTAACCCACTGAAGCCAGAGCCGAGTGAAAAGCCAACCTCGTAATGCAAAACACAGCTTTTATTGAGAACGAAGTTTTGTTTATGTTTATAATTTGTTTACACATCAGAAATACCATTCAATAAAACTTAAAAGGAACTAGACTTATATTTTGCAAATCACTAAACTGATTTTGGCTGGATAATTCATATCTTTATATTCTTTGGGTCTTTCGGTAAAAGCCACGTAGATCGAAAAATAATGAAAAAATAATAACAATATCACGACGTCATTAGACCTCCTTTGCCAGTACCAAAATATAATAATAGGGTTGTTCCCCTTTTTTCTGGCAACAAAAACTGAAACCTTTTTACAAGGATTCATGTCTGCATTAACCACAATACTTGCAGTCAAAATGCAAACAAAAAACACACTGATAATATATGCATTGTCCTTGAAACTGATTGGTGCTCGACCAGATGACGCCAAAGGGCGTATTGCTCAAAGACAATGCACTGTCAAAGTAATGAGGGCCCATCTCTAAACCTTTATAAACAGCCTGCCTCAGCAGCTTTCCTCTTTTTTCACCTGATGACGATTGTTTGTGTTGCGATCGGAACGTCGTGATATTGTTATTATTTTTATTGTCATTTTTTTTTCTATCTACGTGGCTTTACCGAAGAACCCAAAGAATATTAATTCCTGCAGTCACGAAAGCTTAAAGTAAAAATGCATGTTACGTTTCAAGGGAAAGAGTACAAAGCTATTTGTTAAACCACTCATATGAGGCTTATAGCCTGCCTCTAGTAAAATGGTCAATTAAGTTAAGAAAAATGCAACAGCTATTTTTTTTTACTCACTTGTTCGAATAGACAGTACTGTATCAATATTTAAATATTGTTTTATGCATTTTACATTACAGCCTGAAGACATTCTTCCATTTTTGGCTTAAATATCAATCTGCATTACCGTTCCATGCAATACATAATATATATTCCCAATACAAGCCTTCAGCCAAATGAGATGTAAAGTGAAAGTCAAATTCCTAGAACTAATGTATTATTTACTTTATCAATGTATTAGATAAACCTGTATTAATATAAGCTTCTCTCTGTCAAACATGTTATATTCAACCAACATAATATTTAAACTAGATATGTGTCGACATCATGATAAATGACTGTTATTTTAATCGTTATAACTCGTACATGCAGTCTCACATTGATACCTTGGGTAAGGCATCTCCAATCTTCAGCTCGACGAGTGACTCAGCAGTCATCATTTCACAGACACAGCCATATCAGCAACCCCCTATAGACGTCATATCCTGAGCAACCTCAGGGAAATAATATTTGTGTGGCTGGCTGGGCGAATATAATCTTCATACGTCTACTGCAACCTCCCCTCTAACTGCCAGGCCACACCAAGAGCTGCTTGATTTATTGTGGCTGGGCATCAACGCTATCGTCGGTGTATATGGAGGAGGCAACATCACTCACAATGCTTTAAAACCATTGCACTGCTGGTGAGTCATGTGTAGCTCCTAGGCCACTAGCAATTATTTGAAAAGGAGTACTGTAATGTTAGTTGACTATTCAAACAACGGATCAATAACAATGCAATACTGTAATAAAGTGACTTAAATCGATATGTTTACATTGCAGAACTCATTCTCCAAGTTTGTGTGAGGTTTGTTAAGCACTCAATATCTGATCATTTGTAGCAAGTAAGGTATATAATTAGAAATGGCTAAATAGTGAACAACAGAAATAATATGGGCCATTGCAGAAACATACCAACAACAAGCTAAAGGAGAACATATATAAATGATTTACTGCTCACACATCAGCCAAAAAAGGTAACATTTCAATATATATATCTATTTAGGTGAAATTTAACATTTCTGTTCATGCAATTTTATTTTATAGCTTTAAAGACGTGATGCCTCCACAAGGGTTTCATTTTCATTTTTAAAATATGTATTAGCGAGTACCCAGAAGCCGTGACAGCTTGCGTCAAAAAGCCCCAAGGAGCTGCCATCCCAGTTAAATCATCCTGCACAATAACACATTTAACATCGAATTTGCATTGTCTATATTAAATACCAACATGCTACATCATCACATGTTTTGCTTAGCTATTTGTTTACTGCCTTCTAATTTTTAAATAGCGTGAAGTTGTATCTGACAAAAAAACATGATTTACCATTTTGATTTAAAGCTTTTGTGACTGCAGTAATTAGCTCTTTCGGTAAAGTCACGTTGAAGGGAAACAATAAAATAATAAAATATATATAAAACAATAAAAATTCTCACGACGTTTCGACCATAACACAAACGGTCGTCATGGTCGAAACGTCGTGAGAATTTTTATTGTTTTATATATATTTTATTATTTTATTGTTTCCCTTCAACGTGACTTTACCAAAACAGCTAAGAATATAATTTACCATTGTTCCTGATTGAATTGATTCATTTAAATCATACAAATGCATTTTAAATTGCCCTTTAATTTTTTCTCTCATAATATTCCATAAATTTACCTGGTGAATATCCTATTTTGGAGGACATTATTAAATGAAAAATGTGTTTTTTACCCCCCGAAAACACAGTCTTCCAGGCAACTGTATAAACATTAATCCAAAGACTAGCCTCGAATTGTTTCCAGCATCTCGCCAGAATTTTTAAAAAATATTTAATCAACATTAGTTTTTTTTTTTCCCTGGGGCCCCAGTGTCACCTCCGTTTTAATGATCCTTGATCAAGAACTTCTGTGGCAAAATACAATATTTAATTGATGAGTATCGGGCCCTCCCCCCACCCCTACCTACATCACAGAACGACGAAACAGGTCCTGCAACAGAGAATGCAACAAACAAGTTGGGAACTTTGTCTGACTCTGTAATTCCCATAGACTCCTACTATGACTGTCATCTACCCATTACGTTCTTCGCCAGAGGGAAAGAGGACAGGAGAGGTAAGTGGTGATGGCTGGCTATGAAACCTGAATTTTAAATGACTGAAAACCTAGTTTTAATAACAGTAGCCAACAGCATGTTCCTCAAAAGACAAACTATAAATATAGCTATCCAGAGAAGGGTAACCCACAGCATATGCTTTTTTACCATTTACAGATATCAGGCTAAGTTATCGGCACTGGAAGAGGTTCGTGTTGTGAGGAACATGCCAATGGGTGTCCACTGCAAAACAAGAAACAAACCATAACCTGTGTTCCTTTGATAATCAAAAAGCCTGATACACATATATGTAGGCTTTACAACTCTGAATTGATAATAAACTGTATTTGCAGATCAGTGGACACAAATGTGCAGTTACCTATGAGAGCAATTACCTGTATGTCTGCTTCCAGCTCCTGTCCAAACTGCTGGGTTCTCATGGCTTCAGCCACTGATGTCTGGTCACGATAAACTGGCAATGTTTTGTAGTGAAAGCCGAGCTCGTCGATAGGCAAGTTGTATTTGCGGGCATGGTTTTGCAGAGTACCTGTGTGGGGTGGTTATGGAGGAGAATTATGGAGAGAATTAGTGAGGTGGGTAATTTTGAGGGGTAGGGGTCAGGAGTGTAACAGAGCAGTCGTGGATGCAGGAGAAAGCTATGAACACACAAGGGAGAATTAATCACTCGCAATCACATATTATAAAATCAATATTTTAATTTGCTCTGGGTGAAAATAGGCTGCATTCCAAAACCAATATATATCAGAATGTTTTGTATTATGTTTGCTATCATTGTATATCTCCATCAAACAGCATGTGAGCATGCATGTTTAAGAGCAGGTTAATGCTAACTTTTTATAAAGCAAAGCTGGAATAAATCAATATGGAAAATATTTAAAAGATTATTCTTATATTATGCATAAGTAGCACACATTTATCATTAAATATAATTTGACTGTTTAATACATACTATATTGAATGCACAACCGGCTTTGTTGTTCTATATGATGACTTAAACACAATGAACATTGTAAATAATAGCCTTTACACAATATACAAATGAGCATAAAAATTATATCATATGAATACGTTAAAGCTCTATTGTGTATCCTAATAATTTCATGTCGACACAATCACTCACACCGATTGCTCAGACGGTGTAAGATGATCTCGTTTACATCTCACAGCAATATATCAACGATAATCAACAACACAGGAAAATGGTAGAAAAAGAATACATTTATATTCTTAGTTTTTTCGGTAAAGTCACGTTGAAGGGAAACAACAAAATAATAAAATATATATAAAACAATAAAAAATTCTCACGACGTTTCGACCATAACTCAAATGATCGTCTTCAGGTGTGTTGGTTTGCATAAATGTATTTTTAAACGGCGCATTTATTTATTTATTAAAAAAACGTTAGCGCCACGCGCAACGATTTGGCAGTTTATTTAGGACTAGTCCATCTATATTCTGTAAATAAATGCGCCGTTTAAAAATTAATTTATGCAAACCAACACACCTGAAGACGACCATTTGAGTTATGGTCGAAACGTCGTGAGAATTTTTTTATTGTTTTATATATATTTTATTATTTTGTTGTTTCCCTTCAACGTGACTTTACCGAAAAAACTAAGAATATGAATTACTGCAGTCACGAAAGCTTTAAATCAAAAGAATACATTTATTAGAAAAGGACAACATAGAAACTAATATTATCTTTATACTTAACTTTGCATACTTTTTTTTATAATACATCAATGGACTACTCTTTGGTTCTTTCGGTAATGTCACGTAGGTAGAAAAATAAAATAAAACAAAAAATAATATATCGCGACGTTTCGATCGCAACACAAGCGGTCGTCCTCAGGCGGAAAAAAATAATCCAGCAGTGGAACTGCTGAACCAGCGAGAGAGCAGTTACAACAAGACGTTATACATGTGGCGATGGGCAAGCAAAGCTATACAGTGCACAGATAATTCATTGTTTACTTATTTTACAATAAAACATATTTTCCACAAGCGCTGAAATCTTATCAAAAGAGCTATTTCATTATCTGAATACTCAACATTGGGAGCAGAATGAATGTGATTCGATGTATGCAATCGTCCTTATTTGTCTAGTGGACTCTGCAAGGTGACACCATGTGGACCCAATGTGACACCATTTTACAGCAGAGTCAAACCAAAATGATAGTGAAACCACCTTGCATTGCAACTCTCTGCAGAAATGGATAATTTACATGACCAATTGATAAAAGTCTTGGAATGCTTGGCTGCAATATGTGTAGCCTTGATGCCAATACAACTACTGTTATTTTAGTAATATTTAGCTGTCTATTTTCAGAGGATAATTTTACTTTTTGCATCATTAATGTGAATAAAGTGCATGACCTAACAATAATTATTGATTAAATAACATTTTTCATACAATTTCCGAAGCAAAAGTATACATTTTTTGGCAGTACTTTATTGAAACTATATTGTACTGTATGGTAATTATGTGTTGAGAGAGATGTGCAGTGAATGTGAAATTATTTTTAACCTCTTAGTACATGGTATCATAATGAAAATGTTATCGATGAAAATAAGTTAAACATATTCTTTTCCGATACCTGTCAAAAATCCTTGTGGGAAGAAAAATCCAGATATCCAAAAAGACTTGGGTGGCCCGGTCTTTATCCAGGCCTAGGAGAATAAGGTAAACATAGTCAACCAAGATGGATAAACTGAAAAAAATGGAAGAAAAGTATGTTGCAGTGAATTAAAATTCAGCCACATTGCACATTTCCAAAGCTGATAGCCATCAACCACCTTTCCGAAATCCATTTGCGTTTTGGATGAATGGTAAGTGAGCAGTAAAAAAATACCTTATCAAACAATGACTCCTGCTAACCTCAATCCACTGCCTTACGATATGTCTTAGAGATACTGGTCTGGATGGACTCCAGAGAAAAAGGCAGTTAGTGATTGTAAATTACTCTCTCTGACAAACCTCAGTGTCTCTCTTTCCATGGAAATGTTACCATACCATTGAAAATAGCAAGGGTTTGATCTTAACATTGTAAACACATAAGTAAACACAGCACTCTTTGCAAATATGCATTTCAATAACTTTAGAAAAATGGCAATTAACATTTTGTATGTAAAAATCAGCTGCAATTTTGTTTCCACCATGTAATGTAGTAATACTTCAAAAGATGGCCTTGCCATCCACTCTCACATCCAACTTTGATATGGTTTCTTCTTGGGTTGGTGCTAAGGCGCTCCAGCTAAATGATGCCAAAACAGAAGTACTCCTAATCGGCAAAAAGATCACTCTTGTATATAAAGAATCTGCAAAACGTTGGGGCTGTAATTGATCCTGAGCTCCTGTTTTCTTCCCACACATCTCTGCAGGACATCATACCTCCATCTAGGCCACATCTGATATTTCCTTACCCCAGGTGCCAATGAGACACCATAGACACCTTCATAACATCCCGATTGGACAACTGCAACTCTCTCCTCTGCAGCCTCCCCAAGTCCCACACCCATATAAAGACCATATCACCCAAGTACTCCTATGCACCCAGTGACCCACAATCCATTCCCAGATCAATTTAAAGAATTCTCTTTCCATCCTCAACATCCTCCATGAACTTACAACTGCTTATTTCATTCTTCTCATCTCACTCTACCCCTATCCCATAGTTCTCTCAGACAACCAATATGATGTTTCAAAGACCCCAGTCAAACTTCACTCAGTGGGATGTCACTCATTCTCCTCTGCTAGCCCTATGTCTGGAGCTCCCTTCTCTCAACCCTCCATGCTGTCGACCCCAATGCCCCTCTTCAAGTCCAAGCTCAAGACCTTCCCGCCTGGCTGCCTTTAGAATGAATATTCTTACTACATCTGTACAGCATCTTGAGATGTGGCCACATATAAATTCTATATGAATGCAATTTGTATTATAAGTAGCATGGCAATATCATTTTAACAATTTCAAAATAAAAACTCCAATACCAACTATCGTGTCATTATCAGGCATGGTAAATCCATTGCTGGATGGAGGCATCCCCAAACTGCTACCATCTCCTGCAATCCTGCGATGTAATAACCAACTACAGTATATCACCATTAATCTCACAGCGCTGTGAAAAATGATATATTGAAGACTTTCTAGTTAATCCAGCAATAACTCTTGTCTGTTAATTTGTAATTTATGAAGAATAAATTAGATTTCAATGTGGGTTAGATCCTCTGAATAATTTATATCTCAAGTACTTTTGAACATATTGGCAGAAAACAAAAAGTGTACCCAAGGCACCAATTAAAATCCAGTAAACATTTGCGAATGTGGCAACGATTGACTGCAAAACTATTAATGAACCAATTATATGGTATGTAAAAACATGTTTTACCGGATATTCCTATGAATTAAAAAAATCTTCTTAACAAGAAATTCTGTCGGGCATTGTATAAGGCAATTGATAAAAACAAGTAAGTATCAAAATATATATTACATTTTAGCAATATTTATCTGAAGCTTAATTATTGTAACACTGCGGTTTCTTTGTAAAAACATGGTTAGGTAGGGCTCGTTTCAGAATTTAGCAGCTGCTTTTCCCTAAAGAAGCCAGACACAGCACCTGATACTGAATTTTAATAGAATCTTCCCTTGGGAGGAAGAATACAAGGTGCATTAGAAGTCTGAAATTGAAACTGGTTTTCAACAACAGGACCACTGTTCACATTACATTGCACTGACTCTCATCATTGATGAAGCTCTCGTATTTTGAATAATTCACAAACAAAAACAGTTTTCATTCAAATTCAAAACATGAAACTTGTTCATGTATAATACAGAACACCCAACCTCAGAACAGTCTCTATGATTGGGAAATTCATAAAACATGTAATATCGTAAAAAAATCTTAATTTCATTAAAAACACTTCAGACTTTGCAAAAAACAAACATATTTGTAAAGTGTCAGCCTTACATATTCTTGGTTCTTTCGGTAAAGTCACGTAGAAGGGAAACAACAACAAAAAATATGTATAAAACAATAAAATTATCTTCTAGATTTGAAGCTTTCGTGACTGCAAGGATCCATACTCTTTGGTTCTATTCGGTAAAGTCACGTAGGTAAAAATAAAATTCTCACGACGTTTCGACTGCAACACAAGCAATCATCATCCCCTCATCACCTGATGATGATTGCTTGTGTTGCAGTCATCATCAGGTGATGATGATGACTGCTTGTGTTGCAGTCGAAACAATCGTGAGAATTTTATTGTTTTATATATATACTTTTTGTTTCCCTTCAACGTGACTTTACCGAAAGAACCAAGAATATGAATCCCTGCAGTCACGAAAGCTTTAAATCAAAATTTGTCAGTCTTACATCAATAAATATGGTTCGCAAAGCCAGGTCCTTCACCCAACCGCCCAATGGCTTGAGGGATGGGTATGCATTGTCACTCCACAGCACTGGCACTTGGCTATTGAGGAAACTGTTGTAAATCTTCTCCATCTCCTCCGACATCACCACAAAGCCGGCTATCGCTTTCTTAAGAGTGTGCAGGGAACTCTGCAGAAGGCACAAGCACAACAAAATAACTGTCAGTGCTCACGTGAAGCTAAGTGTGTTTTACAAAATGTGAATATTTCATTTCATTGGATGAAAACACAACAATATTCCCGAATTAGTTCATTATAACACCCTTACACAAGGAAACCTTTTCATGGAAAAATGGCAGGATTTATTGTTAGGGAATTTTTGCAGCGTTATTTTCTATTACATTATCTTACAATCAATCTCCTACAAACAATCCTTCACACAGCATACGAGAATCATTATAATACCAACATCAGAAAATATCACGATCATCATCACGTTATCGATGGTAGCTGCAATAGTTCATTATCAACTTTGTGTTTTGTGCGACAGAACAGCATCTAATTTAACATTTACAATGAGGTACTTCTGAGGATAACTTGTTTTTCTTTAGAAGTAGATTTAACCCGATCATGATGCTCCTTTTCTATGTTCTGGATGTCTACTTGTTGTTAATTTTCTTTAAAATAGTTTTTGTTCTTTAGAATTGCGTTGTGTATTTAGTTTGTTGTCCTTCCCCCGTACCTCCGATTAGCACGGTTGGCTACGTACGGTGCAAAAGTTCGACATAAATACATTGCCTATCCTAAAATAACATAATTATGCCAAATAAAACAAAGTGCTTAGGTGATGCAGTCACCTCAATTCATCCATTTTTGCTGCATAATAATGGATAAAGTGAAGCAAAACACTTTGCTTTAAAATAACTTAAATGTGTAAATAAAATAAAAGGGTAAAACACATGAGAAGTTACTGGACACTGCATACAAGTTTTTTTTTACTCTATGAAATTGTGTCAGTAGGATAAACTGACAACAATAACCAGGCCTAGGAGAATAAACAGCACCCTGCTTAAATTTTGATTTAAAGCTTTCGTGACTGCAGTGATTCATATTCTTGGTTCTTTCGATAAAAGTGACGTTGATGGGAAACAATAAAATACATATTATTTTATTGTTTCCCTTCAACGTGACTTTACCGAAAGAACCAAGAATATAAGCACCCTGCTTGTGAGCGTTGTGCGAGGGCAACACCACTGCTCTTTAGGATGCTAGAAAAGAGACGTTATTTCTCCTGCTTTAATCTCTGTCAACATTGATTTCCCAGCTGCCCTGTCGGGAAGAGAGCAGGGTGACAGACGAGATATGAAGTGACTGGGGTGGTAATTGTAGGGAACCAATGACTTTTCCCCTCCACTCTCCAAACATCCCCTCTCTTCTCTTTCCCTTGCTTTCATCTCCCCACGTGACTCGCAAGGCAATCCTGCAGTTTCATTCTCAAGCTTTTCATAATGGACGTAAGTTATAGGTGACAAAGTATATGAATGGGTGTGAGGAATGTATAATATTACAAATGATAGAGAGTTCCACCAACTTTTTGTTGTTGGGGTGCTGAATGTAGTATAACACGCACTGCAGATAATGTATGACATGCAGTTTAACTTACATCTCTTGCAAAAATAAGGAATCATGACGAAGATTTATTTGAATCATAAAATACCAGAAAAAAATGGAATGTTACATATTTTATACAAAAGAGAATGTCTAAATATTCTACTCACGCTTTTTTTTACATGATAGATAGATACCTAAAATGCCCGTTTTTTTTCCTCAACTCAAGTTTCCAAACATTACTCAATGAAGAACAGTTCCCTAGAGCATGCTACGAAATAACTCTTTTCATGTTTCTTTGGAAAGCACATGCAAAAAGTTTTTTTTTGCACAAGGAGAGAAGGATGTACAAGTGCGTACCCGGATGACTTGAAGTAAGGTGTTGAATCGATCCACCTCCTGTTCCAGCACCGTCGTCAGGGAGTTGATCCGTCCCTTCTCATCCCGGGTAAATAGACTTTCCATTGCACCTTCCATGTCCAATATCTCTGTTTTAACAAAATCCAGTGACAGACATCACAACATCTGGCTCATATGGATAATTACAAAAGGTGCATAAGAGTGAGCCTCAAAAGCAAGGGGATATGTTCGACCCTGATGTGTTAGAAATATCTAAGCATATGTTATTTCTCAAAACAATGTCACCTCCAATGGAATGATATGTATTGTCTGTCCAGCAGCTGAAGTAATGTATTCCCTAAAAATAACTTCTGTGCTGTTAAATCGGTGACTACTCTACCTTTTAAAGGGCACTTTCACACTCTAAAAGCTGGTGTCAGCTTGAGTCTCAGTTTTTGGAAGACATTAGTAAAACGGTACAACATTTGGTTATGGGAATGAAACATACAAATTCATCCACCGATAGAACACGTGCAACCATGAGGAGAGATTATTTCGAGAAGATGCGTGTGTGCGACACTCAAGGGATGTATGTGTCGTGTTATTTACATTAGCTCCCGAATATACTGTTCAACCAACTCACGTATATAAAATATATAGGGAAAATAAAAGGGGTTGGAAAGAATGGCATGGCTCAACATCAGTTAAAGATAAACCCAGGAGTTGTTTTATATATATAAATCTTTAATCTATCATAAAGGTCATCTAATTTAATTTAAGTAACTCCAAATGGAAGTTTTTTTGAATGACCTTAGGATTCAATGCTGAAAAATAGATTTTGAGGTAATTGCCTTTTAGAAGGATTGACATTTTGCAAGGTTTGCCAGCTATAGACCTGATTCCTGTAACAATAATTCTGCGTGAAATTAAAACAGCAACATTGAAAGCATCTTAATGCTACTGTTATCACCCTTGCAGACAAATATATCAATGCACCTCTCATGTAGCACACCACTGTAAGTCAGTATTTTATTCAAATGTACTTGCACAATAACAAATCATTTATTCCACAACATTTTTTTGGTAAAATCACATGTAACATTTTTTTTCCTCTGATTCTCTTCTTAATCATTGAAACAAAAGTTACACACTCATTTAAACATTTGGAGAAGCTGAGGATATTCGACCTTATGTAAGTATGGTATTAAAGTTTCATGAGTATAAAAATGCTAAATAAATATATCTGAAGAACAGTTGATGATAACAAGGCATGTAGATAAGATAAAATTTATATTACAATGCTTTCAGCATACTTGAATAAAAGTGACCAGGCGACCTATTTCATTTGCAATTCAAATTCCAATTCACAACATTGGAAAGATGTGCTTCCAAGGTAATGTCATTACTTAATAGTGGAAGCAGTAATAGTACTTCATTAAAAGGTGTTGATAGGTCTGGACTAAGTACCTTAAACATACATACATATGCATGTAAAAAACTGCAATGTACAATGATATTTAAGGGCAACTATAACCTTACACCAGTTAAGATGGTGTAATATCAAATCGCAGTATCCCAGCATGACATGAATGATTATTACATTTAACATTGTCATGCGGTATGTCTTGAATGCGATAGGGCAGTATAATCAACCTGGTAAGAGAAGAATCCATACAAGGTAATGAGCCTCTTTTGACATGCTATGTATAAAGGTATCATTACTTATTCTTCAACAATGGAGGGCAAGAACTTTGACCTATTGATGGTTGCCTACCATTATTCATTCCGAGACTGCCCTGTTAGATGCAAGACTGGCTCCTGTTATATCTCTGGGGGTTTGTAAAATCTCATCCTCCACATTGATCATTGATGGCATGTATACTTTTTTGAGGGACGGCAATTTACGATGCATATTGTGAGAAATCCATCAGGCATGGCACTATGGTAATATTTCACAATAAAATATGTATCATTGCTGAGCATTGGTCAAGCACGAAAAAATAAGAATGTATCCATGGCAAAATATATGTAATCACCTCTATTGCCTCATTTATTCCTATTGCCTGTATTCCCACTCAAAAAAACAATTACTTTTACTTCAACCTCAATCAATCTATGCATGAAAAGAGGTCACTTTCGCTTATGCTTCTCCTGCAATTTGGACTGGCACGGAGCTATTAGTGTCCATACTTCAAAATGCAGGTGTTAATTCAGATTGAAGCCCCATCATATTTGAGTTGCATAAGAAATAATTTGCATTAAAGTGTTGTCTACTCTGTAAAAAATATATATCAAGCACACGGATATATATGATTTATATTAACACCTATATATTTTAAATAATACTCTCACGACGTACAATATTTTCAAAGCTGTGCAGGATCTAAAAAAACAATTGTATTTCGGTGCTATAAAACTCACACCTCTGATTAGCATGGTTGGCTACGAAGGGTGCGAAAAAAAGTTAAACATACATACGTACAAATAGTATTGTAGTTGTATTGCATTTACAATTGTGAGCAAAGAATGTGTTTATACCTGGAAGCTTGGCTAAGATAGAGTCGGCGAGCTCTTTCACAATCTCATCGTTGCTAGTGCCCGCCCCTTGGCCAGATGATCGGGGCTGCACCTCCAAAATTGTCTTCACCAAAGTGCCAGTCTCTTGTCGCTGGAAAACCACACGGCCGCAAGTAAATATGAAGTGTTTACACAACTTAAGATTGATTTACAGCCTATAACTGCAAAATGTAAGGTTCTTTCAGAACATGGAAGATTTATTTGTCTTCTTTTAAGCAAAATCTCAAAATATGCTTTGCAATGACCTCCCACATCGATTTATATTTAAAAAAATGTAACAAAATACATTGAAAATTTTAAATGCAATGTACTTGACGAAATATAAACCTCATACGTTTGAATTTGTTCTAAATATTATAGGATTTTAAAGTTTTGCTATATATTCCCAAGGCAGAACATTTTTACTTAAAATAAGATCCAATCTGTCATTTCATGTCTGCATACTCTCCAAAGAATTGCACCAATCCTGTTAATAATGCCGTTACAAATATAAGATACGACACATACTGAATAAGAACATTGTACTACAGGATGAAAAAATAAGGTTTTTTTAATTTCACCTTAGTGAATTGAAACTTGATAGTCTTATGTTATCTCTCATCATCCATTTGCTATGTTTGAATGCTCAAGATGTTCTGCTGTGAACATCAACTTTAAGAAGCTTGATGTGGCATGTGGACCAAGAATAGACGACGTAACACACACGTCAGTGCTTTTCATCAGAAGTCTTTGGTGAACATTGAGCTCCTGATACAAGCAGTTCCCCTAATCAGTCAGTCAACGTATTTACTTTGGGTAAGGCCCATTGAGCTCATAAGCTCTTTTCAACGGCAGCCCTTATATAAGCATGGCAAGAATACATGAAATATATGTTTATTATTTATATAGTATGTGTTTACCCAGGGAAGCCTCACTGAGTCTCGGTCCTGAAAATGTTTCAAAGTAGGGGGCTATGCAGCTATGTGTAATCCCAATTGAGCAATCCGCAGGCAATTCTCGAATGTTTAGCCAATACCAGTTACAGTGCATGTTTATTTTAACCATGGGAGGTAACCAAATAACTCAGATAAATCAATGTAGAACAGGGGGAGAACATACAAACTCCACACAGGAAGGCACCCGAGTCGAACCCAAGCACTTTTCCTGTGAGGCACAGGTGTTACCACCCTGCCGCCCGATATGGTACGTGATATTCACTATTTCTTCCATCATACCTGGAAGGCCAGATTGGCATTCTCATGCATGCCAAATATCTCTGGGTCATCATTCAGTGGCAAGTTCTCAATGTAATCTTTGTGATCCTGCAGTGTTTTTTCTTCAGAGGCGTAGTAAATGCCTACAAAAGTAAACGCAAGTCCACATACAAAACATATCAGAAAACGGTCTCAAACATTACAATACTACAAGGATACATTTCCAAATGTTAGTCAAAAACAGAGGCAGTATTTACTATTTGTAGGCTACAAGAAATCCTTATCAGCAATATAAATTGCCTCGCAAAAACAATCTAACCTGACGTAGAGTAGAGGTAGCCAGGCTCAAGTGTTTTTGGAGAGAAGAAGCGCTTGAGGATGGTGCGAAGGCAACGCTGGTCCCAAGAATCCGTCACTCTACCTCCATACGTGATTTCTCCTGCACAGTCATTATGTGGACAGACATAACCACAGCTATGAAGTAATACAATGGTAAGGAATATAAGCAATAAGCATTGTTTTCTATATACATTGTTTGCATGGGTGTGTATGTGGAGTTGTGCCCACATTGAGATAATTTTACCCATTTCGATTATTTCAGCAGTGGTCAGTCAAAGGATCGCAAGTTTACATTGCGTAAAGCGAAGTACAATGTTGTGGAAATTGAATGGATATTACAGTAAAACATTTACAAATTTTGTTAAAATAGTTAAGATCAAAATATAAAAAAATATATGAAGGGGTATAAATGTAAAAACTCTAATTATATGACATTGCCTTTAATATTACGACATGAGTGTCACAATTAAAAGATAATGCTGCTTTGCATTACAATTTTATATGAAGAACTGCAACCTATTAGTGATGCCTGCTAGTCTATGTTAACCTCACAACATCCCAAATGTTAATATTTAATGCCATCATAGTCACAATTCACTTATGCCTTACTTTAGAAAATATATTATGTGGACTGGTTAATTATGCAAAGTTACTGGCAGAGCTGTGCATTTATATATAGCAACGTATTTACAAGTCACCTCGTAACATAGTTTGATGTATAAATAAGAAGTGGCAGTGAAATTAGTTTCTCATAAAAGACACAGCAGGATGGAATCCCAAAACATTAACTGAAAATGTATTATCGAAAGTTGGACGTGAACATTTTTTTTTTTATCCTGAGTAACCAGTCATTATGTAGAATATCAAAACCACTGATGACTTAGGGCAGTTTGAAGATAAATGGGTTGTTTTGGAAAGTATTGAAAATTATAACTGTTAGTAATGATCAACACTCATGACAAAGGTCAATTGTTGCTGCTCACGTGATCATCCAGAGTTAAAGTATAAAAATATTACAAAATCCGTATTTTTCCCCCCTCTGTCACTCACTAAGCAGCTATGCATGAGCAAAGACAGTTAGGGAAAGATCAAACCAAGGTAATGTGCCTTTAAACAAAAATACTTTTTAATGATCCTTACCCCAGCATCTAAAGAACGCGGATAAACATAATAGGGTTTGCTGATCTGTCCTCTTAATGTACTCTCAAAGCCAAGTATAAATCAAGCGCAAAAACACATTCACGGATTTTTGTGTTTTGTGCTGCCATCGGTGACAAAGCTGAGGCCATCACATTTTCCGCATATGGAAATCTCGTGCAGACCAAGTAGAAAATTCAACGTCATTCTTTTTCTCGTTTGCCCTCGGGGCTTGTGGTGTTGCTGGCTCAGTACTTTGGCGCAGCCAACAGACCCTTGAAGCACTCTGCCACAACCTCGAATGCACACTAGCAAGCATTCTACCTGTGCAGATCACTGGCATTGCTCTGGCGTTCATAAAAACAATGGAGAATTATTTCCCCAAAAATATGTATATTTTAATGCCATTAAACATAAACTTTCACTTAAAATACCCCCGAAAAAATGTTTTGCTGGGAATGTCTTACATTTTTTTTATGATTTGTGAATCCATAAAACGTGCAAAAATGCATACACAACTACATAATAAACCAAATAAATTGAGACATAATGGTAAAAACTGCTCCGAAGCCACTTTAAATCAACTGCAGGGACATGCTGCTATTGCCCATGTTCCTAAACACTTGGAATGTCTTGGTAGATAGGTTTTGTAATAAAACATGTTCATCTGTTCACTAACTGTTCTTTAACAATGAAAAATTATGATAAATATAATGGCATATAGTCGCTCTATAATAAATGACTCAGAAACATTCAAACGTGAATATTAAATGACAGATTATGTCAGGAGAGCTCTATACAAATTCAATATTTGAGGCATGACAATATTTCATTAAAAAGAGGACAAGATTTGTTACACACATGGTACGATACGAGCATTTAGAACCATAACATAAATCTACTTGTCACAAGTGTCAGCCTACTTAGAATTTTAAAGATACGAAATGCAGCAATATTACCACGTTTCCTTTATCACAAGCCAACACATGTGGCATCCAAAATTAAAGTCTACAAGTGAGATATGTCATGCTGTGAGGTCTGAAATAAATAAAGTTTAAGTGCTAGTATAATTTAGGAAACCTTACAGCAGCCATACCTTTCTACATGAGATTGGCTTTAGTTGCTGCCATGGTATATTTTATTACAGACAAAAGGCCAACATAATAGTATCAGTATAGTGTTAAAGGTCAATTGGTGTCCTCGAGAAATATGTCAAGTGGTTGTGAACCAACCAACAGATGCTGCAAGCGTCATAGCAGAAAATTAGATGACTTAATGTTTATTTTGTCTCAAAACCAATGCTTATCCGTATAGAAATGCAAGCAGTTTCCCTCTATTAACCTCCACAAATGTGTTCATATCCTCTGAAATCCAAAATGTACTTTCGAGTTTTCCACAATATTATTTAGACTTAAAATTGTATTCTATCTTACCATTTTTTCACTGGACAAATATATTAAGAAAGCTAGTGTAATTATATTGTACTTCACACAGAATGCCTAAGTAGTACAGAGGATTACACCTAATTTAAAAACGTCAACCGTTGAAGGTTTAACTTTAGACAGGTCTACACATCCAGCTCACAGCCTCACAGTAAGGGGCAATCCATCTCAACCAAAGTTCACCCATGTGCAGCATTAAACAATGTTATTACTTGCATAAATGATTCATGCCACAATTTTGTTGCAAACACATACACAGACACGCAATATAACATTAATTCACCACTAAATGCTGCCAAGAGTCCCCATCGTGTCTGAGACAGGCTTAGTGTACAGATGTATGAATAAAATATTGCTCTTTGAATTATGATGGCACATTTTTGCCATGCAGTATGAACCAAACTATTGTTTAATACATTGTTTTCAAATATGCCATATAATGTTAAACATATTCTTTTTTCAGCTTTGTTGCCTTGTTATAATTTTAATCACGTCATTTTATGCTAGCACCCAGCTGTGTTCCGATTACAAATCATAATATTTCAGGCAGCAGTAAGTCACCACCTCCTACTGTTTCTAGTGCATGGGGCAAAAAAAAAGCACGGCAATTTCTTACTTAAAATTCAAGTGTGCATCAAAACAAATATCCGATTATAATATAAAACTGGCTTAGATTTAATATATTCCACTTTAATGTTACAGTGTTGATATAATTTAATCATCATGCACAGCATATTAAGCAGCTTCAGCAGGTGTTAATGTTAATCAATGCCGTTTGATTTGATAAATTAGACACACTCTAAGCAACTCACTATATATTGCTTAATATAAAATGTTTAGGTATGCATATTCACTAAATTTCATTGCAGTGCAATACATTGGTTTGCATTGTCAATAGGATTATTCTTTATTAAGGAAAACATTGCCTGTTGTTGCTGGACAATTTAAAAGATGCCAATACACGCAATGTAATGTCAACTTTAACATCTGCAGGCAAGTGTACTGTGCAATGCATTATTAAGGGACTGCAATAGAGGCTTCAACACGTAAACACGAGACTTGAAGGAAAGATTGCTAGGTCATTTGAACATAAATCCTTTTCCACTCAATTTCATACAATCTAAACATATTTCATACCAATGGAGACACCTCTGCAGATACAGTAAGTGTACACATTCATAATAAATAATAATTTAGAGCCTTTTGTCCATCCATTGCTTTATGAAGGCCTCCCCATACCAATTTTGGTCATGGAGGTTTCCTGACGACAATTAACGTGCACATAGCCTGGCACAAGCACCGTAGTGATGTCACCACCCCTTAGTGGTGAATGGCGGTTGTTGTTGACTATAATTAACCTTGCTGGTTAATGTGGCTTGGTGAAGGGGAAAGGGAGGGTGGGGGGAAGGGGGTGGTGTGAAGCAGGACTAGTTCAGCTATAACTCACCACTGATGTTAGCTACGCCAGGGAATCCAACTCAGGTGGTTGGGTTCATCACACAGTATGCTAAGCGCTATGCCATTGCTCATTTTTAAATGTGTTTCTAATATTGTTTCATAATTGTATTTATAATTTTCCACTACTTTAAAATAAACAAAAATCTATATTTACATTGAGAACATTTAATACTGTATGGCATATACATTCCTTTACTTCTAACAAACCAGTTTTTTTTTACAAAAAGCATAGATGTGTCTTTAATAGCCTGTGCAATTGTGCAGCGATTGAGAATAAAAGGTCTCCTGAATTGAAGAACAGCACTCGAAAAAAATGGGCCATTTAAGATGCCAGATATCATTGACATGCAAAGTAGATGTTGGAAAGAAGTGGGCAAGTGATGGTGTCAGCATGCAGAGGGACCAAACCAACCAGTGATATAAATAAGGGCGTCCCATGGGATCCTTCCATCCTGACAGAAGAGATTCAGGTTGAGAAGGGCACACTCTCGATCACTGTCATTGAACTCGTAATGTATGTTCCATCCCAGTGGACCAAACTTCTTCCGTTCCTGGTCATTAAATGAAAATTAAGTGCGGCAGGACACAATCAGTTCTGTTCGTGTGATAAATCACCAAGCAGCCATGTGTATGAGATTCAGAGAATCTGAGTACATTGTTTCTTACAAAAGTCTACAAAGTTGAATAAAATACAATAACAACTGTTGCAATAAAATTGATACATTGATATTTAAAATGCAAACTATTACTTGTGGCAATAACCAATACAGAAAAGCAAAACAAATTAACCATTTGTATAAAGGGGGATGCTTGCTGGGCTACATTGCCTGCCAACTACATTTATACCCTGACATGTGCCCGAATGTCTTAGAATGTGCCCTAGAAGGGAGCCAATAAAACCATCTGTAGCTGACCTAAAAACGTGAAAAGCAGTCAGGGCAGCTCTCTTCTAACAATGTGTGTATGGTATGATAATGGTGGTAGGGGTAGTGTAGCGGTTAGCGCGCTGCACTACAAACCCAGCGACCCAAGTTCGATTCCCGCTCACAGACAACACCAGTAATGATTAATGATCTGAACCGGTCCTGGGCCTCCCCTAGGTCAACTCAGCCTCAAATTAGTACCTGGTGCAGTGTGTGAACATCATTACTGGGGAGACAAAAGCAGCAGGGCGAGGTGCTGGCCACCCACGCCCTTGTGTTGCCGTGCCAGCCTTCATCGGTGCTCGCTAACAGCACTTGCCCCAACAGTATGTCAAGGCTATACGGGGGACCTTTGTCTTTATCTTGGGTATGACAATTAACTCACTTGTATGATGGCATGGAAGAAGCAGATACCAAAAATTATTTTCCTCCAGTTCTGGCCCAGCACATTCTTCTCAAAAAATGCTGGCGTTATCTCCGTGAAAGCTCGCCGAATATTCGCGCGGAGTCCTTTGGGGGGCTCATTAGTTACCTGTGATGTCACAAAAAACAGAAAATGTACGCTTTGTGATATGTCACCTGATTAAATGGCTAACAGTGTATTCAGGAGCAAAGAAATTGAATGTTATAAATAAGTGCAACATCGTAATTTGTTTGCCCCCAAATTACATATGCACATTTATTTTAAAGTCGAGAACATATCAGATTTGGAAATGTGTACCTTAACAGAGTTTTGAAGTACAGTGACCGGAAAATTTCTTGTTGGCATGGAACTCAAAAATAAGCGGTAATTTGGATGAATTACGGCATCTGTAAATACATAAGTCTTTGTTAATTTTATATTACTGTTAATGCATACATGTCTTCATAACTAAAATATTGACTTAAACCAAAACTACCACATTATGATGAATTACATGTAACAATCAATTACAAACTATATTGCATGCCATGTGATGCGAGTTTTGTTTTAATTTTCTGAGTAGGACTGGAGTGCTTTCCCACTTGGAAGCTCTTATCAGTTCTCAAAACATATATTAAAGCTGCTTTGATGAGTAGGATTTTCTTTATCACAGGTTAAAAAAATAGTGGAAACATTTGCCTGTAATCCAGATACCCTGATTATATCATCTGCTTTAACCTGTTAAGCACCACAAAACACTGTGAAGGGCATACTGTTTCACATGTCATAGACTTAATCCGTATTCCTTTCCACGCACTTGCATAAGTGGACAGATATTTGTTTCACAGCAGTTAAAGAATGATTCTCTTTATTGTTTATAATTTCACAAGCAATGAAGACAAAACATCATGTTGTCAGAAACTCCCATAGAAAGTAGCTCAATGATCTGGAAGATACAGTTGGCATAAGCTCACTTGGTGTGCTCAATGATAAATTATGTAAGTGCATGGTACTGACTTGGTTCTGAGAGTGCTTTAATGATTTCCTCCATTGCTAACATCCACGAAGCAGCCAGGTGGCAATTCTGCAGGAAGACCCAGTCACCACTCTTCACCGCTTCCTCGATGAGTTTTTCCGCAATTGGGCCTTGTCCCTGCCCGAGTGAAATTGCGTGCACCCTGATAATAATAAAAAACACCAACGTGAGCAGATTCTCAGCATATGCTTCACCACTCTAAATTTAAATATACTTTCAAGTTCATATTGGCCTGTACCAACAACATCGGTGTGGTCTAGCTCTGACATGCGTTCATACGAAGAGCAAAACATTAAATTTTGATAGTCTTAGCTCGTTCGGTAAAGTCACGTTGAAGGGAAACAATAAAATAATAAAATGTATATATTATTTCATTATTTCCCTTCAACGTGACTTTACCGAAAGAGCTAAGAATATGAATAACTGCAGGGATTCATATTCTTGGTTCTTTCAGTAAAGTAAAAAAATATATATTGTTGTGGTTTTCACACCTGATGATGATTGCTTGTGTTGCAGTCGAAACGTCGTGAGAATTTTATTATTTTATATTTTTATTATTTTATTGTTTCCCTTCTACGTGACTTTACCGAAAGAACCAAGAATAGTAAAACATTAGATAATCATTCCCAACAACATATGGTACGAACCGAAAAAAAAACATCAAAGCCGCTATACAGCACAACCACAAAAACCTACGTAGTAGCAGAAAAAGGGTCTTAATATATCAATACACTGCACTTGATGGAATAAACATATTGTGCCTGCAAGGAGTAAATTACCTCTCTGAGTAGCCCATCTCCCTGGCGAAGCGCTGAAAGGCACCCATGGGGTCAGAGCCCGTGCTAAGGACAAACACAAGAGGCGTGGAGGCTGACATATCCTGGTACAGGGTAGCCAGGTCCACTGGTGGGTTCTCGATAAAGGCCTTTCCCAGGTTTTCAATCACAAAATCGGTCATGGCAAACACCACCTGTTGGTGTAAATGAGAAAACAGGCATGGATGCTTTCCAACACTGCGAAGCCAACATCACAAACAAATACATTTTCAGCAGCTTTACACCTCACTTCAAAAAAGTGACTAGAAGGTGAGGTTTGGGAAATGGCATGGTGTGCTTAATTCACAAGTTAGATACAAGACACTCAAAAGAAACATGGAAAAAATGTACTCATACATTGCATCTTACGCATTGCAAAAAGTCAACAGAGCGCAGATTACTAAAAACATGTTTTTTTCAAAAGCATGTAAAAATATAATTGGTAAAAATCTATAACTGTATTTTAATAAAATATATACAACTGTAGAAACACCAGTAAAATTAATAGCATGTGACAGCAACAATGTATGGTCAATGATGTATGAAACATATCCAATTAACATACACATTTTAGAAGCTCAATCAATGCAGAGTATTATATTAGAATAGAGGCAACACGTGTGAAATTCATTGCTCCCTATCATCATTAAATGAAATGGTTATTTATCATAGTTTTTAAGAAATATCAAACATTGATATAAACCATGTGAAATATTTTATTACGGAAAAAAGGCCGCTCAATGTTAATATATTCTCTCTGCAGGCAGAACATTTTTACTGTGCAATGTTTGCCAAATCATTTACATTTGGTAAGTATTATAATGTATATATTACAATGCAATAAACAAGTAAAGCGATTATGATATTGTATTCGTCTTGAAGTAGAAACAAATGAAATGATAATATTAACTGTGACCTTAGCAACCAGGAACATGTTCTACACATTGAGAAGAACCTTGCCATCAGCCCATCTTCGCAGGTTCTGACTACAAATGTAGAAATGCACAATCAGTCCAAAATTATTAAATATAAGCAGAGAAAATTATATCCATCTCTTGATTTAAAGCTTTCGTGACTGCAGGAATTCGTATCATTGGTTCTTTCGGTAAAGTCACGTAGAAGGGAAACAATAAAATAAAAAAAATAAAAAATGACTTTACCGAAAGAACCAAGAATATGATATCCATCTCCTTAATTTCCAATTTCTCATCTACAAGGATCGGGGCCTTGATAATGGTGATAAATATATTGAAATTCTAACATTTACATGGCTGTATTATTTACATTTGGACCATAGGATCACAAGTAGCTGTCACAATGTAATAAAAAAAAACGTTACCTTTTCTTCCATGAATGATTTCACAAGTACGAGTTTCTGAAACTTGGACAGTCTCTCGTTCCAGTGACCTTGTATCTCATTTTCAGAAACCTCTTCTGTGAAGTGCAGTGGCTCCTTCATACAGCCCTCCCACGCCTCAGGGTTCAGTCGGATTTCCAGCCTTCCTACATTAAAATCAAACACAATCCAAATGACCCCCATCCATCTGTCAATCAGCCTCAGCGACAAACACTCCTACACAGGGACCGTGACCTTCAACAGCAGTCGGACAACGTAATCTGCTTTCACAAAAGGATGTTAAAAAAAACTGAGCTGGTCAGTAGATCACTTGTTATATCTTTGTGGATCAATGTATACATTAATTAGTTATATTTAAACCAAAACAATTAACAGCTAATGTGAAATTGCACAAATATTGCAACACATGCAACAGCACAAGTAGAACAGAGAGCTACACATGTACAGATGGGTAAATATAAAATGTCATTGGAAGAGAAAAACGCTGCAAATAACAAGTGGCTCATTACTGGGACAAATACAGCCCTAGGGAAAGATATTAAACTATGAAGAGAGAGAAAATGTCATTAGTGAAAATGGTTGTAACAAACCTAATGTCACCAAGATTGGGATGGCCACAATCTCCCTTTTTAGCCCTTTGAAGCAAGGCAAATGGTCCTCCAGGTCACAGCACAAGTTCCATGTCGATTCAGCCAGCCACCCAATTTCAGGCTTAGTTGGCCGCTCCTAACACCACAAAATCCAGAGTCTTACTGTTAGTAAATATGTCATTATCGTAAACTACAACTTTGGAGTTTATTTTAGAACTATGATGATGGTATATGGTATAAATCAAGCAATGCCATAGCTAATACAAATATATTTTCATTTTATGTGGGATTTTTTCTCACTATTCTGCTTGGTAATCACAAGGTGCCATTTTTCATCTTAAAATAAACGATTTTTTTTTTAATATGGTTGACCATGACAAATATTTTACATTGTGTTTACATCCAAATATTTCTACAAATCTATGCACAGCCAATATTTATTGTATTTTTGTTTAATGTTGAATACAAAACCTGAATACAAAATGTTGCCATGACTTACGTATCACAAATCACAAGCCATGGAAAATATAACAACTCAAGGCCCGATTCATTCATACGAAGGAGGCATCACAACGATACACTCAGCTACTCCGGATGCAAATATCTGGCTTAACCACCTCAATATGACATAAAAGTTGTGGCTCTACATCACCATCAGCCATATGAAGAAGAACATTCAATGAGTGTAACACTTTTTCTTAACTGTGTACAATTTATGGGCCAGTGATCTTTGCAAGCAATTAGACAACAGAAAGCCAGAGGAAATGCAAATAGAACCTTGTCCATTCCAGCAGCTCCTCGCAAGAATAAGTTCCACTCTGCATCGCTCACGTGCCCATGCTGTCGTAAGATCTCTATGCAGAGCATGAAGCTGAAGATGAGTTTGTGCTGCTCAAAAAGGCCCCGCGAGATGTTGGTGTAGGTGGCGAGTAGTGTCTGTTTCAGAAGCAGCTCCAGACGCTCTGCCAGATCACTCCGCTTCTCAGAAGTCTCGATTGTCATGTTGAACAGCTGCAGTGTCAAGAGTGAAAAAGCTTTGAATTAACAGCATACTCCAATACACCAACACATCTACATGGCTATACATTTGTAGTGACATAGAATAGGTCACTACGTAGCATAGTGCAGGTTGTTGGCAGAGAAGGGGATCTGCAGTTGCAGCAGCCCTGTCTGTCAGCAGGTCACGTGATAAGCCAGAGAGAGGGATGTAGGGGAAAGATTATAGAGGGGGCACGTGAGGTAAGCCCGGGAACCCACGAGTAGGTTCTAGTAGGGGGGCGTGGCTGGGGCAGAGCGAGGTCACGCTGGGAGGATAAAAGGGGACCCCGAGCGGAGGCATGGGGCTGTTGCCTAGAGTGGGATCCCATCGTACTACTGGAGTCATCGTCTACATCTTCACCTTCTCGGCATCGTCAGTCAGGCAGTCTGCCAGCTGTCCTGACTGGGAGCTATAGTTACCTCTTGTAACCTGTGAAGGCTGATAACAAATAGAGTGCCTCCTACTCCTAGTGTCGATGAGTGCATCACTACACATTTATATAAAAAACCTGGACATTTTCAAAATTGATTAATGATTGTATTCTTGGTTCTTTCGGTAAAGTCACATAGATAGAAAATAAAAAAAATAAAAATGATTAAAATAAAAAATAAAATAAAGACCGCTTGTGTTGCGATCGAAACGTCGTGGTTTTTTGCTTTTATTTTTACATTTTTTATTTTTTTATTTTTTATCTACATGACTTTACCGAAAGATCCAAGAATATGAAATCCTGCAGTCACGAAAGTTTTAAGTCAAAATGATAAATGATTGGTTTCTGAATTTATGCAAAGTGCACCAAAATATTAAATACAGCTGAGTGAGATTATGAAAGTGACAAATTAAATATGCAACAACCTACCACCACATAGTATAGTTTGTTTTAAATATAAAATAAGCTGGAAGGAAGTATTTTATTACACATATACTAACATAATGATTTGCCTTACATAAAATCAAAATGGCTGTAGTTTAGGTATACGTATTTTTAAGATGAAAGACTTTTTTTCATGCAAGCTATGACTTTGTACCAAAAATATCTTTAATGTCTTTCAATTATTTTTGATAAAAGCCCGTACCATAGTGTGTCAGTCTCTGATCAATTTTGAGAATATCTGCTCTTGAAAATGAAAACACTCACATGCTTAATAATTCAATTCTGAGAGCATCTCAAATACTGCTGACAAGTCCTGTTATTTCAGCTGTTATGTAAAGTTTCATTCCTGCTTGAAATTGTAAATAAGATGTATTACATATTAGCCTGGAGACAATAGCATATTAGTGTGAGCAAAATTACCTTTTTGTCAACATGACAACTGCCAAGGCATAAACAAGGAGACTGTTATAAACTGCCAAGATTGTCATTAAGCACTGCAGAGTCACACACTCCTTGGTCTCTATTTAATTGCAAATCTAAAAACAGTCATGCAAATAATCAACTAATTCGGGGAGAAATTTATAAGAATGTGCTCTACAGATGAACTAAACATGTATCTCCTCGCAGTCTACTGCAAAGCCTGGTGTGGTGAAAATGTCAAACATACCTGTTTGAAGTATTTGAGTGAGTACTGGTACATGGGGTCAATCTCTGATAAGCTGGCTATAACAAAATACATTACAGAGCCACGAGCTGCCACAGGCCGATATTTCTCACGAGCTGTATTTATCATCTCCTCTGTTGCCTCTGCTTCTTTCAGTCGTGTTTTAATTGCTCCTGAAGTAACCTGTGATGAAAAAAACCCCAATGTGTTCATGATACAAGTCATGAAGTTAAGATTACTTAGCTGGAACAACTGAAAATAACGCAACATATTTTAAGAAAAAATAACTCACGAAACAATTTTTGGAGGTAAACATGTCTCCATTCATATATAAAATAAAAAAGAAACAGCATGTACCAGTCACCTTTTGTTCAAACATATACTCTGTAAAATTATAAAGCTCACACGCAATTGCATGCAATTCACAAAGTGACATATGCATCAAACGAATCTTACCAACAGCTCTGTGCAGTGCAATAACCATGAAGCCTCACACTCAAGGTACAAAGGCAAACAAAAATGTTAAAGCTCATTACATTTGTTTATAGATACATCTGTTTAAAATAAAACATATGGAATAATCTAAACTTTATACGGGGTGTTTTGTGATAATTTACTGGAACGTCGCTTTTCATTATTAAGTTCAGTTGTCCAAAAGCATTCCAGCCCTAATTTAATCTGCCTTGTTATTTGATGACTTCTTTGGAGTGCTTTTGAAAAATAGGGTCTTGATAATGAGAATCAACATATACCAATATGCCTGAGAGAGAACGCTTTTAAAATCAGTGCATATTACCCGCAATGACATGATCAGAATAAACGTGGAGATTGATTCAGAAAAAAAATATTTTATAAAAGGAAAGTGCAAAAGGAAACATTAAGTGATATGCATTGACAGATAAAGGAATATAGAGATTAGAAAACGTATTACAAGTTACAGACAGAATGCTAAAAGAGTAAATTTACTTTTCCAGGACACATCACTAGAAGGAATGATGGCCCAGCGGACAAGGCTAAAGATGGATTGGCAGCCAAGGGAGGGACTGTACCCAAAAGGACATCCACTTTGCAGATGGAGTGGTCAAATAATTTAGTTGTGCAGGTGCGAGATGCATTTTTACATTGCAAGGTCATCAGAGAAGGTCACAGCTTGAGGAGGACATCATCCAGTAGTAAATGTAGATAAAATATAATCGAAAATGATGATTATTTTCGAATAAGTGCCAGATTAATTTCTGAGTAGAACCTCATATACAGCAAGGCATAACATCAAACCAACTCGCATTCTAATAAACGACTCAAACTGTCTTTGGCAGAATCTCGTCAATGTCTGTATTGTGTTCATCTGTATGAATACATGTTTTAGTTTCTTAAAAATAAATCAATTGTATATATTTTTTTAATCAAAAATATAGTATACCTTCAAATTTCCGAGCAAACAGCAAGGTTCAGTCATGGAGCACACGGGTAAGAAGTGCAATTATCATGCACCAATGCTGTACCTTGGACTCCTGCAGTGTTTTGATGAGCTCCTCGTTATCCAGGATATTTCCTTCCGACGTAAACAGCAACTTGAGAATGCGATCTTCAATGACCTTGAGCTGATTTTTGTCTGCATTGATGCGTACAATTAACTCATTCCGCTGCTCCTCCAGCTCTGGCTTTTCAAGCCTCACCACGTCACTACAATGAAGAAATAACACATTATCAGTGTTTTTATATATATCGTACAATAGGTATTCATTCCCCACTTTTGTGAAACCTGTTCTGCATCTGTTCTTGGATTTAAACAATGGTGACCTTTCAGCATACAAGCACGCACGAATGCATGCTATCCTTGTGTTAGAATACACCAACACATAAACACTAATGTTTTCGCATAAATACGTATATGCATCACCATTATCATAATCAATTATATTATCTATCCACATATAGAATGTAAATACGCTGACATAAAATATGCAATTCTTATGATTCTGTTTTTTTTATTTTCACCAGGGCTCACAATCAAATTAGAATTACTGCATATACCTTGACATGAAGCGTTACTGCACATGCATTTCTGTCAGCTGTCAACAGTTAAAAAAAAAACTGTAATGCATGGCTCTGTATTAATGGACCGTGGGGTAATATGACTGCTTCATTCCCTTAGAAATGATTGGACTGCATATGCCAATGGATGAGGAGAAAATCCCTAAAAAGGGGAGTCAGCCTCAGCAGTCTATTGCACAATATAATCCTGCTGAAAGGAAACAGAACAAAATAAGTCCCTAAAGATGTTTGTTCAACGGTGTGGTGTGATAACAAGCATTAAAACCCGGTAATTAAAATAATTACATTGACATCAATTATGTATAAATGCTGGGATGTGCAGATACTTCTCATGAACCTAATAATGACCTTCACATTTTCTTTACGTCTAAATCTACATATCCATTACTGGCGCCCTTATCTTATTAATTCTAAACTAGCATATCATTATATTATTTGGGTTTTCGGCACATTAGTATTCATGACTAATGATATGCTAAATCTTGACTTAAAGCTTTAGTGACTGCAGGAATTCATATTTTTTGGGTCTTTTGGTAAAGTGATGTACATAGGTTAAAAAATATATCAAAAAACAACGTTTCGATCGCAACACAAGACCCAACGAATATGAATTCCTGCAGTCACGAAAGCTTTAAGTCGAGATTTATCATATCATTAGTCATGAATACTAATGTATATTTGTGCTTTGCAGAGCCATTATGCGTGCAGATTTAGTACAGAACTATTGCAACAAGATTTGGTACAGTACACAAAATTCTAAAACTAGTATCTTGCACTAAAGACGCATTACCTAAATTATCAACAGAAGGTGTATATCGGATTAATTGTTTATGTGGCAGATGCTATATTGGACAGACGGGACGTAACATCAGCGTAAGACTAAAAGAACATCAGAGAAATATTAAATTATCTCAAACACAACTGTCGGCAGTGGCAGAACATGCTTGTCAACAAGGACACTCAATTTATTTTGATAATGTTGCAGTGTTGTGTAAAACTAATTATTACTGTCAAAGACTAATTAGAGAATCCATTGAAATTGAGAGGAATAAAAATAACTTTAATCGCTCTGACAGCTACAGGCTTAGTGCGGCCTGGAAGCGTATTATTAAATAATACACATTACATTTTGATTTAAAGCTTTCGTGACTGCAGTAATTCATGTTCTTGGCTCTTTCGGTGGAGTCGCGTTGGGGGGAAGCAATAGAATAATAAAATATATATTTGTTGTTTCCCTTCAGCGTGGCTTTGCCGAGTGAGCTAAGAATATGAATGCACATTACAATTCCTTATAGGGGAAACACATACTAATTAACGGATTACTAACATAGCATATAATCACTAACACACATTACAACTAATTACTAATCTACAACGCATTACTAATCATAACCATTGACTGATTACTAATCGATTATATAATTACAATACCCCCCCTCCGCCTCTAATCACTGCACCTGATATGAGTTAAATGATGACGTCACCCTGCTGCTCTATTTAAAACCAGGAGCAAGCGAGGGCTTTACCATTCTGGCGAATTGCCCGATGATGCTGGATGTATTTACCAGTGAAACGTCGTACTCAAACTGTAAATGTTGTGGATTCACTCTTCAACACACCGGTGGGCTAAAGTAGTGAATTATTTGTCTTTTGTCAACATGACACTTTTTTTTTTGCTGATTGGCCGTGTCGGGTGGTGGAGGGTTACGACACATTTATAAATAACGCGATCTAACCCAAAAACCTTTATTATGAACATGAAGAATGTTAACAGGCTTTGTATAGATATTTACCTGAGCAGCTGATCTTCCAATCCAGATTTTGTCACGGTAAAGTTAATTATCGTCACTTTAATGCATACCTATGCAAAAAGACAAACATTTCAGTTTAATCACATACAAACACATCTCTTACTTTCAATGCTTGCAGATGCAACGTTATTAATGACTGGTGTGATGTAAAAGATTGCATGTATATAATGTACAATATCTAGCATCACGATACTTAGTGTCTAGTTCATATCTTTTTGAAGCAATGGACTTTGATTGTAAACATATCGCTCTTACCTCAGGAAGATAGTGAGGATTTGCCATCTTAGTTGTCATGTAAAACCGGAAATTCTTGTCATAGTCCACGTCTGAGTCACCAAGCCTTATTAAGAGGCGGCCTCCAGACACGAATGTCTGCTTTAGCAAAATAGGTTCCAGAGCAGGATCCAGTGTCTCTTTGAGCTGTACATGACAAGAATATGTTACGAAATAAATAAAGCTCTCAAATGGCATATATGAGAATTCTGTATAAATTAGACTTCCTTAACTTTAACTCTTCTACCTTTTTATAAAGGCCGAAGTCAAAGTCAAAAAGGAGAAATCTCACAAGTGCATTCCAAATTGTGATTTTTGAATGAATTAACCCTGGCTGTACTTCCGAATTTATATAATAACGAAGACCATGTATATAGGTCCATATGAAAATACACTTTCCACCAGTGACTGAATACTTCAGTTACCTCTTCAAGTAAGACCGGCATGCCAAGTCTAATTGCATTTTCTAGTGTGCGAAGGAAGTTTCCATCTGTCAATTTAATAATTTTCAAACCATTTTTCATCTCTTTGTTTCGAATCCATCGATTTGCCTGTAATGGGAAAGTACACCATTAACAATTACATCACTCAGCAGATAAAATACATGGAGAGAGTTTCATGTAATAACATACTGCAAGATTCGGTTAATGTTAGCATCTGATTAAAACCTTCCACTTGTAATGCTGTATACACTCTAAATATAGAGAAAACTACTTTCATATATAATTGATAACAAGCTAGATTTCACCGTATTAAATATATAAATGGTCGAATCGTATTGTTCTTCTTACAGTTGTTCATACTTATGATAAATTCCAACATCTATATTTTATGACTTACAAGAGCCATCTTATTCAGTAACAAACTCCATAAAGAAAAATGCAATTGTTTTAATAATACACTTTAACATCCACATAAGTATTTCTTTTAAGCTGTGGGAAAAAATGGTTAGGTACATTTTACGCAAGAGTAAATACAATTTTAAATTCTTTAATATTACACCTGTATGGATAATTCAGTGCATAAACACTCAAAAATATGATATGGACAATATTCAATGACCAACAATGTACATAAACAACAAGGGCATAATTTTACAAATGTTAACGAAGCTGCCGCGAGACATATCATTTTTATTTTGACCGTGAAATATTTTAGAGGTTTTCCCAGACATTTCGACGGCAACATTTATTTACTTGGTCCTGTGGATCTATCATAAGGGGCCAGCGCCGGCCACGGGTGACTAGAATTCCATTTTCGGTAGAAACTGTGTCCCGGGGAAGCCCGTCCGTATTCCACTGTCGAATTTCAAAGGGGTCGCCCAGAATGCCGATGAGGCTGAAGTTGGCATTGATGGGAATGCCCAGCTCTTGGCAGCGACTGATCCACCGATCAATGAGCTGAATGCACAAAGCAGCGATAAAAAGAAGAGGTAAAAGATGTAAGTATAAATAATATTCACTTAGAAATGCTGTGTAACAATGATAGATAAGCCTGTGTGTTGAGCTTTTATTCTTTCAGGATTTCAAGTGGAATGCTCAAAATCTTACTTCCTACATCATAAAAAGGTGATTTTTCAGTTAGAATTAAATTTTTAAATTAAGATCAAATTGTACTGGAATTATAAGATAATTATACATTTACACTCCTGCGACACCCTATAAATATGTGATATGTGAAATTGGCACGTACAACAATGTGGCATGAATGCTGAAAGTTTGTCTTACCATTTGGCGGTAGTGTGAAGTGAATGCCCCATAATAAGCCACACAAGCTGATGCAATAAACACATTTCCAATGACGTTGTTTATCTCCACTTGAAACTGAGCGACGCTTTCCTGCCAGCGGATCTGCTCGTCTCCCAATGCTGAGGTCAACTTTCCAGCACGAGACATCCGTGCTTGCGTAAGGGCCATGTTCTTAGCTAATCAAGGAAGGAAAAAAGGTCAGACAAAAGTTGGCACTTGCAGAGATGATTCGACCCGTGTGGTTCAAAAGCATCCGTGTACCTTCACGCATTTTCCAAGAACCATAGCATTTAATTCATATTTATTTCTGCAGGAGAAAGAAGGGCTGTCGGCAAATCAAGGTGCATTCTCTGGATGTTTTTTCCAATTTTTACGCTGCGGTGCACACAATAACAGATTGAGCCTTCCATCAACACCATGATGCCATCAAGATGAGGAAGGCAACCACCGAATGCATTTTTTAAATAATGATATTGAATGACTACTGACTGCTGTCTATGTAAACGCATACAGTATATCATCGACGATATATATTTTTAAATTGCAATCCTCTATGAATATTCACGTAATCTCTTGTTGACAAATACTATCTAATGAAATGCTGTGCTTTTTAATTGTTTGACTGAAAGCCAACAGCCATGTACAATTATACATTTTGAAGTTTATAACTATTCACGACATGCGACTTCTTTTTTATTTTTAAATGAAAGGCAAAGGCTACATTACAAAAATGTAAATGACCAGTTATAGACCAAATAAATGTTGATTTTTCCAAAATTTTATAAACATGCATTTTCATTCATGATATATTTAGGTGATCTTGACATTTGCTCCTGATAAATTATAAGAACAATTTATCCCAGAAATTGAAAGCAAAAAAAGTACTTACTCTATGGCACGATTGCTCTACATCATTATCCTTGTGTTCTGATCTATTCACTGATATAACATGAATGCTTTCTCATGCAGACACCATCTCTCACGGTCCTCCAATGCTACAATCCATCTCGCTCGTGCACGCAAGTTGATCTCATTACTCCATCTCCGGTGTGGTCCACCTCTTGGATGTGTTGGCTCTATGGCTGCCATTTTGTCACCAGTCCCACCTGAATGGCCATCATCCCTTATAACTTTCATTTATCCAGTTAAATTATGAAATTTTGTTACTAATATCCCTGCGAATAGGTTTGAACTACTCTTCTGAGTTGTATTTTGTTACCTTCTGCATATAACATCAGTGTAGCTATTCCTTATGTATTAATGGTTGTGATGATTTCTATATATATTTGTTATTTTCATGTGGCTAATCTCCTCACCTCACTGAATCTCTTGTCCCAAATTATTTCTCCCAGTTACTTGATCCAGTTCTATAAGATTTGATTTTCTAGAGAGAATCTGCACGTTGTGGATAGCAATGTTTCAACTCAGGTGAGCTGTTTGTACCGAGTGATCCTAATCATGTCCTACTCCTTCCCCTTCCCAGCCAACACAATAACTGCTAGTTCCAGAACTGCTGGGGATTGAGGACCATGATTTAATCCATCGGTCATTGGGAATCTGAGAACATACTTCACCATGGTAGCAGCCCTCAATGACAGTTTACTACAGTGCTCTAGAAAATGTAGAGATTCAAATACAATAAATGTACTAAAATTACAAAATATTATTACATTAAATTTTTTATAAACTTTAACTTATATTTTCATACATTTCAATCATTATTCGTTTATATAGATACTGTACAATTAAATGTATCCCATACAATTATCACATTGATTAATTTTAATTCACTGTCAGTATTATTGAACTGCGAAGTACAATATTATGGCGTTTTTGTGCCATCACAATGACATACCAAGGCTTTCCTTCTCAGCCACACTCATGTCAAACTGATCTTGGAGGGCACCAATCTGGTCTTCCACCTGTTTCAGCCGCCTCTGCTTGTCATTCAGCATTGCCATGGTAGCATCCAACTCAGCCTGCACGCAAATAAAGGAGGAAATAACCTTTAACCTTAACACATAGTGGGAAAATAATTCCCATGGCCCATCGGTCAAGACCGCATAAATAAAGAGATGGGCAAAAACTATTCTAGTGTATGTGGTTTTTCTGGATGTTTAAAAATTAACACCGTACATTCCATTTGATATTTCACACTTCAACTCTTAAATAAAGAACTTCGAAAAATAATTATATTCAGCAGCTCTTGACTGCACTATTATTTGATTGAAAAAAACTGGACATAATTAATCAGTGTCATTCGATTGAATAGCACAATATGTATTTATTAACATTTTCACTTGCACTTCAGAGGAAAGTTAAAAAGATTATTAGCAGTTCATGTAAAAATATTACAGGATAGAGCATACGTTAGTGAAAATGCTTCATTATCATTAATATTATCCTTCATAACATAAAAAAATATATAATCTGAAACGTGGTTAATTATCTTTAAAATAATCAATGCTAGAATACTAACGAATAATTACATTTAATTTGGATTTGGACTTCATTATTACATTTATTATATATTTTTAAAACACAATTTTACATTAATCACGTATTAATATCCAAGTACACTACCAAAATTCATGAAAATTGTAGTAATAATAATGATACATTGTCGGATAACCAAATAAAAGCACGTTTGTATTAGCAATTGAGTATTATGTGCATTTTATAGTAAACATAACGATAATTGGTGTGTTAGAGCAGAATAAGATGAGTATATTCACAAGTGAGGCTGGAGTGCCTCAAACCAAAGCTGTATGCAAATGAATACATTAATTTCAACGTGTCAGTATTTTCTATCCACTCTATTTCCATGGCTTAAACATTTTAATAGTGATCTCATGTAATGATGTGCTGCCAATTACAACTTAAATAACGCATGCATATAGTGCACATCACATATGTTAATGCTTCTTAAAATATTCACACAGAAAAGGCACAGCCACATTTCTGCATTACCTTGTATCATATTTGTGGGAGAATAAATAACAATGGTAAAGGCCAATTGGAATCCATAGAAACTAGGACTAAATTTTACAATATTTTGTTCATTCATGGAATACGAAACACCATACTGACGGAATGGTTATTCTCGGCAGGAAAGAAAATAGGGCATTCACTTTCTACTACCAAATTGACCTTAATTTCATATTATTACATGTTATCAAGCTTGTATACGCAGGGATGCCTCGTTGAGACTCGAAACTCAATTTCTGCCAAGTTTTCCTTTTTCAATAGGGGCAATGTTGCTATGCGTAATCCTAATTGAGTCATTTCTAGTTATTGTTTTAAAGCTTTGGGATGTTTGGCCAAAACCAGTTATAATGTCTTCTTTGGGAATCATGGGAGGAAACTGGAGAACCTGTAGAAAACCCATACAAACTCCACGCAGAAAATATCCCCAGTCGGGAATTGAATTCAGGCCCCTCTTCCTGTGAGGCACAAGAACTAGCACTGCACGACCCTGCCATCCATGTAAGTCTGTGTACAAGTTTCGTACATGTTAAATACAATAATGACATCATTTTTATTGTCCTTATAAGAGGTCAACTGTGGAATTTTCTACTCGCGGGCACCAAAGATTCCCAGGCATGTTTTGCAACTAAGCCATCAGGTGCACCCATTATAAGCTCTCTATATAAAAATAAAAGGGCCTTCAGAGTTAATGTATGGCCAGAAATTAATCTATTTGTATTTTCAAAGTATATACATCGAATAATAAAATGTCTCTGTTTTGCATGCAGGATTTGACTTTGCATGGTCGTTGCTAAGCAACCTGCTGTCTGAAAGTCATTGCTTAATATAAATGGGATACATGGAAATGTAATTTATTATTTTAGTATGATTTTAATATATATTTACATAATTGCAGTTCCGTCATTTCAATTGCATTCTTCTCTCAAATGCAGGAAACTGAAGCCTCCCATTGTCAAAAGTGAGCAAAGCGTAATAAAGCTGTTTCAACCAAAGAAAAACATTTAGATCACACAAATTTGTTCTGCTGTTTATTTGTTTTAAGTTGATTACCAACTTTACCTGTTAATACACCTTGAACAAAAACATGATCTATGACGTATCGAATATAATTTCCCCCTTGCTTTTCGAGATGTCAATGTTATCATATTGTGATGTTAGCACATGTATATTTGGGCAATATACAGGACTATCTGTGATATTCCAGTGTGATTTTTTCCCCTGAATATTTATAAGAAGTGAACATGTTACGGCACAGGTACCCCACCTGTGCAGTGGCCAGTCTCTGCCTCTTGGGCCCAACGTCCTTTAGCACACGTGAGTAAAGGTCCATTGCCCTCACCCACATGCACATGGACTTGCAGGCCTTTGAAACCCTCTCCACCTTTTCTGGAACAAAGTCTTTATTATTTATGTAGACCTTCAACTTCTGAATGACATCTTCACTAATATTTTCCTTGTCATAATCCGTGAGCCGCTTCAGGAAGTTTGAGTCACCCAGCAATTGCTTGGCAGAGGCCCAGTCAGGCCTGTTCCATTTAAATACATACAAAAATTACAGTTGAGCATTAATATTTTATGAGCTTGCAATTTTATTTCATTACATGTACAGCAATTTGAATTTTAACAGTGTGAAATGTGTGTTCACAAGATCACGTTAAACATTACATCATTAAGGATACATCAGTTTAAAAAACAATCACTTCCACAATGCACATTGTGCTTTCATAATGGAATAACATGCGTTAAAAATTGCATATAAAAACATAGTTAACTTAATTTCTTTCAGATAGAAATTCACCAAAGTACATCTTGCTTCATGAAATGTCAATATCCAAAATAATCAAATGTTGTATTCAACAAGCGTAGTAATCACAGTGCTAGAATTATCAAATGTCCATGAACATGTGTGTGCATCGAATTCAGCCATGTGTGCCGGCCATGTGTCACGTACTTTTTGCTAAGAACGATACAGATCGCCTCCATGACGGTCCTGACGCCTTCGGGCGGGTTGGTGAAGACACGCACCTCCGAGATGTCGGATCTGTCCAGCGAGTCGAGTGCCCTGTTGGCGGCCTGCAGAGCTGGGAGTGCCTCATCCAGGTCACGTTGGGCATCTGCTGCCATCGCCTGGGTCTCCTCAGCCTTCACCTTTGCCACCGCCTCGTCCTCCATCACCACCCGACGCACCTGTATCCAGGGAAGCGTTTGTTAGAGGGGCCCACCATTTGTTACACTGACTTCACCGTTTCTACTCCAAAACAGCACGAAATATGCATCACGAAAAAAATGAAAATGTAGTTTTTCAAAGCTCATGCATGTCAAACAAAATAGTACTTAAACACAAAAATTTGGTAATAAATGTTTAGCTGCTATTAGACTATTACATTTGAAAAATATAGATTCATAATGGTATTGTTACTCTGAGAAGCAATGATATTAAGCATGTTTAATGCACAGTTGCTTTCATCACCAAAAAAAATCAGACACGAATGCTCTTCTGTGACTTTTGGATCTATGCACTTGCCCATAATGGCTTGAATTTTTATTACCAAATGTGCATCACCATAACCACGTGGATTAATGGTTGCATTACCATTCTAATATGGGCTAAGCCACATTTACCCCATGCTACTGGCTTATGAGTCATTAAAGTACTATGAATAATCCTGTAGCGACTGGAATGGAGAGTAAGCCATGCAAATTCCAATCCAATTAAAGCCACAATTATCTTATGCACAACATTCATGGCGATCTTTGTCTTTTCGAAGTAAATGGGTAATAAAAAAAGTAATTGCACATTTTTTTTAAACAAACAAGATAGAATATAATGTGCATGACAATATGAAACCAAACGTTTTTTGTCACAAAATGATATTTGTATTTAATCCAATGGTTGTAACCCATACATCTATAAGTAGAAGTACACTATCAATGCTATCAGCATATTGTACACCTGTGGGTGAATAAAACTGTGATTTAAAATGAGGCCCAATAGTTGTGTGGCCAGCAGTCCAGTGTGTTTACAAAGAGGATTCACATGGCATTGACCAAAAGTACAGTATTGCACATCACCAACAGGGAAACTGCAATAGAACACAAGCCATAGTCCCAAATGCTATAAAGTGTTCTGGAGTACAGATGCATTATTTGCCATGCAACCAAATGTGGCTAATTACACTTCCGATAAAATGTAAGGTTTTTCTTAATTTCATATAATTATTCCATGTTTATGCCCTAAAGTAGATACGCGAATTTGTCCTAGACACCATAACGCAGATTTCCAATTTGTGAACAACTTTCATTGATCAGTCACAAAGGTGGGAATGCATATTTGAGTACATGTATGTATGTATGTTGAACTTTTCACACTGGACGTAGCCAACCATGCTAATCGGAGGTGTGAGGGAAAGACAACAAACTAAACACTAAGAGCAGTTCTAAAGAAATTAGCTAATTACATATATTGCACTACACGTGTTGAGGAAACCAAATACGGAGACATTCAAATTGTTGTGATATAATTTTCCTAAATGATATCATTTTCCTAAATCCAAGGTTATACCTATTTTAAGAAATATGAACATTTTATTTTGCAAATAACTAGTAAAAACTACCGAGTGTGTAAAAACGTTCATTTAGTGATACGTTTATTTATTTATGTTACAGTTGCTGGGCAAAGGCCCAACATGTCCAGGAACAAACAAGACTATTACATGTTATAGCTCGGAGTTAAAACTTGCATTGAATTGAGGAAGGTTATAAGAGCTTCGGAAAATAGCCGATAAGAGGGAATTCCAAAGTTGAGCAGTGCGAGGGAAGAAGCATAAAAAGAAATGTCTTGCATGTAAAGTGGTCTAGCTGTAATGAAGCCTACTATGCAGCGGTATGCTGTGTCAACCAGCAAGGGACGTTGACCTGATCAGCATTCTCCTGGTCTGTAGCAAGCTTTTCCATGAGGGCTTCCACATCTTCTGACTTCTGCTTGAGCACGGGCTCCAGGGCTGACAGCTCCAACTGCAGCTTGTCCACAAGCTCGTTGGTTTCCAGAAGTTTTGTCAGGCCATTCTTTATGCGATCTCTTGACTTGAGGGAGAAAAGTCACAAAATAATTGCTGATTCTGTTACTCATGTCAAACAATTGTCTTCTTATTCGGTCACTGTTGGAAATACTCTTTTTTGAAGCCAAATCAGCGGATTGCTTTTATAGCTTAGTTTGTGCAGTCGTTTATACTGTACATCTCCTCTAATTTGACGTCGGCATTTTGAGTGATACTGAATTTTTGAAGATGTTAAACAATAAATGGTAAACAATAAATGCTTTTACCTTAATGAGATGCCTGGAGTGTGTGTTCATGTGAACAATTCTGTGCTACAAGTGTCATTTATTTTGGTTTATTTTTTAATAACTGAAGAGTGTTGACTTGTTATTTCTCAGCATGGAGCAAAACCTTCCATATAGCTCAAGACAAATAATTTGTTCAGTTCAATTTATGATCACTGTAATAGGTTGATAACAATTCCAGCATAGATATATCTTCTTAAAGCAATTGGAAAGTTCAAAAGGGCTAAGCATTGGTTTAAAAGTAACAATGGAGATACTTTCCAAAAGAATATACCAATTGTTTAGACAACAAAGGCAGAACAAATAATTGAGTCCATTGCTTACATTTGTCAGCTGACTCCGTTTTTCTCCCAGCATGCTGAGGTAGAGGTTTATGAGCTCCAAGTAGGATGTCGGGGTAGTGTAGTAGCGCCGACGCAACTCGGCATAGTAATGCTCAGCAAGTTCTGTAACACTCATGTGTATCTCTACACACATCTCAGATAGATTCTCTTTTAGCTCATCGCTACCTAAATCCACGGGGGTGAAGAACGTTTTGGAGACTGAGAGAAGTGCCTCTCGTGGCCACTGTGGATAAGAAAAATAACAATAATGTCGATGAAACGAGTACATTGAAATTATCATTTGTGGTGTACATTTTAAATATCTTTAAGTATTTGGAAATTGTCACTAAGAGTAAATAACACAATCTAAAATAATATAAGGACATTAATATAATGCGTTATAATAGTTTTTTTTACTGAAATCTGTGCTTTTCCACAGTCCATCTTTTTTCATGATTGTCAATACACTCAGTGCAAATGTAAACAAGCTAATAATGCATTAGGCACATGTCTTGCTTGAAAAACATTCCGGAGGACTGCAGATAGAAAAGCACTGTGTTGTAATATAATAGCGGCCGTCCATGTTCCTCAATTACTGGACAACGAATGAATGTTACGCACCTGGACAAACCAGTCGATGGTGCAACAATTGACAATGGATGGGAACATGCGACAGCGTGCTCTAAAAGCATCGCCGACGGGGCTCATGCAGAGCACAATGTGCAGCCTGGCTCTCACACGATTGATAAAAAACTGTAGCACCTGTGGATTGGGAGAAGGCATTAGGGCACAACATAATAAAGTATTTTGCATAGAGTACCATTGCATAACAAAAAAACTATCTCACGCTTTTAAGATCGTATTGCACAACCAAAATAATATATTCACACGGAGGGTTGGAGACTATCACATAAGCGTGAACTATGTGTCACAATGAGTGGGACATGACTGCAAGGCAATATCTTGTGTCACTGGACTTTTGAGGTTAATTTTGGCTGACGGTGCCTCTGGTTATGCAGAAACAACATGCATACTTCATCAATACTTTGTATTTTCATTCTATAATTTAGTCAGACTTGAATAGGCCACCTTTCGGATTGCACCATAATGGGCTACAAATTGCACACCAAAGAGTAATTATGCAGACGCTTGTTCTAAAAACCCTTGCATATTTCTAAAGCCCTCAGGGGTAATAAAGAAGCTTCATACCCTTTACTGCAAAAAAACACATCGCAAAGGACAAAATGGGAAAGCGATCTTCCATCCATATTCACTGCATCAAATCCTTCCAGCATTTATTTAAAAAAAAAACCCCACTCCGTTTGCATACATACCCTTTCGCTCAGACTGTCTAGTTTACCTAACCCAAATATAATCAACACAATGACCAAAATGGAATGCTTGATAATGGGACAATGCAGAGAGTACAAATATTCGTCAAAACAAATACAGGATGCTTATAGGCAATGGTAATATTGCACACAAATAACCTTCTACCTTTGGGTCACTCTGGATGTATCCACCAAAACTGACTGCAGAGGAACTAGCTTTTATATATATATATAAGTGGAGGTACTACAGTTTAATTGAGTGGACCCACAAAGGGCAAGGGAACTGGACAATGGAATACTTATTCAAACAACACAACCTGTGACACGTGTGCAGTTGGAGTGTACCTCATCTCGATTTCCCTCTGGAATGCCAGCCTCCTTGGCTTTGGGTCGTGTGGCTGCCAGTACTTTCTCAAGCTCATCCTTCTCAAAGAGGTTGGGCACCTCCCCAGAGTTCAGTATGTTGTTAATGTCTTCCAAAAACTCCTCAATTACAATCTGATACAGAACAACCAGTTTTTAACTAAGATATATAAAAAAAAACAATTGCTACGTACACCTTGTTCAATTTCATACATCTAAACGTGTTTTAAATATGTAAAAACATGTTCAAATATAAATGTAATACTAATTGTAACAAATTCAAACCTAATGTAAACGTTGCACTAGTGAAAATTTCCTCATGCCATTTCTAAAATATAAATTGAAATACAGCAGCAAGAGATGATTATGCTTGAAATATTTATGCAATAAAAAGTAAGCCCATTTCATTTTCACATTTTACACAAGATAATTTCTGTATTCTTCAGGAACGGTAAACTATTAATATATGTATGCCGTTTTTTGTTATTCCTCTCAGAGGGAAAGTTATGTGAATTATAATATTTTTTTTAGCCTTCTGTGGAAACAATAATATTATCATATACATAGAATGCTAAGATTGAGTATAGCTTCCAAATAATGTTATGAATAGTTTACATTTTCTGTTTATTGTTATAAAAGAGCTAATACATTTTCTTGGTTCTTTCGGTAAAGTCACGTAGAAGGGAAACAATAAAATGATTATTTTTTATTATTATATTATTGTTTCCCTTCTACGTGACTTTACCGAAAGAACCAAGAATATGAATCCCTGCAGTCATGAAAGCTTTAAATCAAAAACTAATACATTGTGAACCAGTGTAAATATATAGTTGAAAATAATAAAAAGATCACATTTGATGTTATCATTATTGAAGTCTCTCAAATTTTAAGATATGCAACAGTGAAATATTTAATAAAATGTACAGATATAAAGGTTGAATGACATGAATTATGTTTGTGCAATGAGAAACATAATTGTGCATCAGTGTATAGATTACATCCCTATCTTACGTGAATTTCCCAGAATGTTTAATCGAAGACACTGGATCAATTGCCAGGCTGATAATTTAATGAACTACAGGAGTCAATAACAATTGTTAAAATAAATATACATAAAGCAAGGATATTATAGTAATCTCTGTTTATGTCAATTCCTAGAGGCTGTAAATATCAACAAAAACATTGGAACAGTCTGGCTTAGGGCTTTGTTGTGTATTCCAAGCGTTCACATTTTGTAGGCACCATTAACATTTTTACTCATGCCACATGAAATAAATATTACCACAGCAGCTGCACAAATGTTAATATTTCACAAACTAAATGACTTATTGTACATAAATGTGTTTAAAGTTTTACATATAATCATGCCGGGACTTTTGATTACTCTCTGATGGAGCATGTTTGTGCACACACAGCACCTGCGTGTCAGTGAAAAGGAAAACGGTGTCCTTGTCTTCAACGCCAGCAATGGTGTACAATTTGCGCAGGTCCTCGTGGAACGTGTCATAACTGTAACCTCGGCTGAGTTCAATTTGAAAGCAACGGTAACCGCACATGTGGCAGGCGAGACGTGTGAGGGACTGCTTGCCGGTACCGCCCACCCCGACCAGCAAAGCATTTCCACGCTCTTGGCGAATCATGCGTGTGATTCTGACATGGGGAACAGAATGTAAGACGCTTGGTTATTTCACGAACCATGGAATACCCTGCGAAAAAAGTACCTTTGAAAAGAGGTATAAAAGCAATTGACATGAAGCACCAAACATCATTATCATCGTCATCATAATCCATGGGCAGATAGCCCATAGGTGTCCACTGCACGAAACATTATATGTCAAACATTTTACAAATAATATTCACCGAGTAACATGCTCAATGGCATCTTGGAAAAAGACCATTTTCATCTCCTTCGCAGAACTGAGGTTGTAGTCATCCAAATAATCCTGCAGTACACCTTTCAGCTTTTCCACATCTGTGAGATCCTCGTAAACACGATCAGCCCTCTGCACTCCAACCTGGTCAGATACAATTGCGCATTTTTGCAGTTATGATATAAACAGTTGAAACATTACTAAAGGATCCCACTCTTTCATTTATGGAAAATACTCTGATCATATTAATACCATAAAGTCAAACAGGATAAGCTGCATGTCAGTCACGGAGTTCAGAGGGAACAAAAGACCACATTCACCCTTAATATGTTTGAGTTTCAGTTTCATTCATTAGGTATAACCCTGTGAGAGCCATGCGGCTCTTGACTCGGGTGCAACCGCAACAAACAAAAACATGAACAAGAAACATCTTAAAGTGACTGCACGCAACAGAAAAATCCAGGAAAAAACAGCAGTCTTCCAGAAAAAAACACCGTATTTCAATGCTGTGTGCAAAAATCCCAGTGGGATGTAAGTCAAACAATAACAACCATAAGACAATTTAGATTAAATTTATCAGGCTAACTTTGTACTACAACAAACATGGCTAAACCAAAACGTTTTCAAAATCACCAAAGTAAAGCTATAAAAACAATGTAACAGTTGTCATAGGAACTGTGATTCAAATTTTACAATAAACGATATACAGTAGAACCTCGGAGATCGAACGCACCAGAACTCGAACAAATCGGTGTTCGAACGATATTTCCGAGCATTTTTTGCCCCGGAAACCGAACGAAATTCGGAGGTCGAACGGGCAATCGCGACTTGAAAGAACCTCTACGGCTGAGACGCGAATGGCCAGCAGCGTGCATGACGCTTGCCCAGACAAAGGGGACTCCCCATCCAAACAATAACACCACCTCCTCCTCCTCACCACCTTCCACTCAAGCCATCAACTCTCCTTACTACAGGTAAAGTGACGTTCAATGTTCATTTATTTCATTTATTCCGTATATGTATTCATTTATTCCATTTATTTATTGTTTCTTGTTTTTTTGTATGATTTTATACATGTAATTACTGTAAATTTCGTGTAAAAATGCTTTATAATGAGAGATTTCTTGTGTCTGGAACCAATTAATGTCATTTGCATTCATTCTTATGGGGATAATTAATTCGGTGTTCGAACAAATCGGTGTTCGAATGGCCTTCTGGAACGAATTAAGTTCGATCTCCGGGGTACCACTGTACATAAAATGTACGACCAAACTTTGCAGCCATAGCTGGCTGCATGAGTCACTCCATAACAGCAGGAGTATCAGTAGCAGTATCAAAAAATGTCAATACACCTTTAAAGATCAGCACACTATAATCAAAACTCAAGATCATACTTTGCAGCGGTCATCCGGAACGATATATTTGATTTCAGGCCATTCTGAACAGCAGTGGCAGCTAGGGGTGTACAACTCCTCTAGAGCAGTTTTGAGTGAGGATCTCACAGGTAGTGATCCAAGTTGCAGTTTATTGGCAATAGCATTCCAGACCCTGGGGACATCAATAGAAAAGGCCCTTCCTACAGTATTTGTACGGCAATAAGGAATGTGAAGCTGGTAAATGAGCGAAGACCTTGGGTCACATTTGTTCTTCGAAACAGTGAGGAGATCCAGCAGGTAGTCTGCTGATTTTTTTGTAAGTACATCGTGAATAAATAAGATCTGATGCACAAGCCGTCGATCATTAAGAGAAGTTAAGTTTGACCCAATGTAGAAATCGCAGTGGTGGGTCCTATATGGGCAGTTCAATGCAAATCTTAAGGCTGAGTGATAAATTGATGAATTGAGTCAAGCTTCTTCAGTATAGTACTGGGGGCTGATTTATATACGATGTCACAGTAATCAAGTAGAGGCAGCATGGTAGCTTTTATCAATTCCAAGCGGAACATAGGGGGAAGCAGTGCTTGTGTCGATACAGGAAAACACATTTTTTATTGTCTTTTTACCAATATAATCAATGTGATCTTGAAAATTAAGTTTTTAATCAAAGATGACCCCAAGATACCTGTAATAACTGCCTGAGTTTAAAAGTATGATCATTTGTATGCCAACTGAGTACCTTCATGAAGTCTCCAAATAGGATGGGATGTTTAACAAAATACTCTGCTTCGACTTGAACTCCAAATTGTTTACCTTGGCAAAAAATACAAACCATCAATGAATGTCTCATTGATATTAATCTTCATGCGTATAAATGACAACGCTGAATTTGTACATTGCTGTTAATTCTTTTTCATCACAGATAATTGAACATTCATGTGCTTTGTGTAGATTACTTACTTGCCATCTCTGCCAGCATGGTATTAAAATAATCCTTGTCTTCATTGTTGATTAAGCGATCATGGAAAACTCGCTGGCACTCATGGCAAAATAGCCTGAAAATCTGATTTTGGTCACGAACAGTGCCTGAATCACACTGCAGTATCCCTGAAAAAAAAAACACATTAACACTCATTCCAATTGTGATTAAAAATAAAAGGTCCTTTGAAAAAAACTAGCAACATTATTCCACTGCCATTGAAAGGATGATAGAAGTCAAATGTGCTTTAAGTGAAATTTTTATTAGTTTAGAGCATGCCCCTCCTCCATTTTGTTTGCATACAGTCACAAGATCAGCAGGGGAATCAGACAAAAGCAGGACACCTGTCAGTATGTGTTTGGCACCTTGTGCATTATCATTGGGAAGGAGTAATGATATATCATAGTTTGTGCTAAATTGAAGAAAGTGCCAATCTTAAACTCTTCCCGTGTTACAACAGACCTTTGCAAAAAATGGGATGTGAACATTTTACTGAGAAAGAAACTCAATTTTAAAACAATGAGGGCATTTAAGTAAATGTGATGAGGTACATGAAACACATTTAAGCTTAAGATTTTCACCACTGCGTTCAAAAGATATGTGAACATAGGCAGTCGTGAATTGATGTAAAAAATAATTTCGGAGGGGACACACATTATAAAATAATAGCGGCCGTTAGCATGCTGCAACCTCAGTGTATTTCCTGGCCACGGCTAACACCAGTGGCAAGGGATATTTGAACCGATTCTAGACTCAGGACAACCCCAATGAGAGAATAGTATGGGGGGGGGGGGCCTTCATCCAAAAATTGATTGACAAATGCTGTAACTTTATTAATATTAAAATACTAATTTACTTCCACAAAGTTTCGACTTAACTTGATATGTAGAAAACATTTTCATTCATATATCATTTGTGTAGAGTACTGTGCGCTCACTTGTTCATGTGTACCATAATAACATGCAAATATAGTTAAGCGATGCCAATTGAGTACCTTGCATGCATTTTGAAAGGTCCCTCAAATTAAATATGTAATGGGACTTGGCTGGGGTTGGCAGCAGTTCAGTGCTCATCCGACCATACATCTCAACAGCTGCTTCAACAATGCTTGTAGCCACCTGCTTGACTGCCACAGGAAAATCTACCAAGAAGCCTGTTAGGATAGCCTGCAAAGATAACAGCGCATAATTAATAGGAACTAGAATTAATTCACTTAGGAATATAAAATGTGCAATCATAAGTTTGTATGCAAGTTGAAAATATATTATAAATTTATTACTTTCTGTCAAAGTTCAAGCGTACTATGTATTGAATTTTAAATAATATTTAGTATCGTTAGATAATTTTCCAGTTTTATTAAGATTACTAGCCACTGGAAAAAACCCAGAGAGGTACAGAAGTAATGCTCCAACAGAGATTATAAATCAATTTTCATTCAAGTTCGATCACTGCCATACACATCATTGCATATATATTCTTATTCTTGGTTCTTTTGGTAAAGTCACGTAAAAGGGAAACAATCAAATAATAAATATAGATAAAACAATACAATTCTCACGACGTTTCGACTGCAACACAAGCAATCATCATCAGGTGTGAAAACCACAGCAAGAACATTTGAAAAAAGATCATTGCATGTGTCTTGATTTTAAAAAATACCACATTCAAATTATATAACCTCAGATCCAGAAAAAATGCAACTTAAAGCTTTCAAGCCAAGTGCTTATGACAGTCCCTTTTTCTGAATGACCAACCCAAAGTCAAATCATACATTCCTTCCTGAATATTTATTCATTATTAATACATCTTCTTTTGGTGATCCACTGGCTGTGTACTTCTGACAAACCATTTCAATGCAATGGCCTGGGAATAACACTATTTCACTTGAACACTTCCCCTCACTGATTCCATTTCACAGTCCCCAGTGCAAAGCCAGAAAACCCCAAAATCACACACTGCATCACAGTAGCTTCATCACATTCACTGATACACCACACACCTTTCAAAGCAACTCAGCATATGTATACTGCACTCAAAATGAAATAACAGTGAAGATATCGCTTTTCCGCAATCGTTTTATTTTATTGGTCTATCTTACAAATGTATTCCAATCATGCCATCAAAGTCATGTCAGCAAAGGAAAAATCTTTTCAGAATTCTATGCAGAGCAGTGCACCCTGTGTTTCTTAAAATGGCCCATGAAAGCATTTTTTGCAGGACTTCTGAAATATCCTTCAAGTGACCTTTGTATTATTTACCGAGAAGGGGGCACATTTAACCATATGTTCTGTGATGAGATATTATTTTCTCATGACAGTCAAACAGATCATTTTAATTCTCAGATTTACAATTTTGCAAAGTCAAAACTAGGTTTAGTAATGTTTTTGTGCAGTCATTAGTGTCAAGGCTGAGACTTTCGATTCGCTACACTTGAGAACCCAGTTTAATTATGGGTGGCTTCCCAGATTCCAACCCAGCATTCACAGCAGTGCTGGCTCCATATTTTGAGTCTAGATCTGCTTAATGCAAAGTGTAATGGATTTAATAGCACTTATACTCAGAGTATAATCATGTTTACTTGGAAGACAACCCAAGAAATTGTCACATTGTAAAATTACGATAGATTTATGTAAAACAGGTAGCTTTAGAATCTTAAATAGGTTTTCAACTAGTATACAATATACTTGTTCTTGTTTTTTTTTAAGTTAGCATTTTTGTAGCAATATAAATTTCTATATCATAGCACATGAATACAATTGTATAGCATTATAACAAAATTATTGAAATTCAATACCGTGGATTTCATTTCACTTGTTTAGGTAATTGCCTTTCTTTATGTGTCATTGGTATTGACACACATACACAATTGGTTCCATTGCATATATCTGAATTATTTTATAATAAACCCCCCTTGAGTGTCCTTAAATGTGGGTTAATGCAAATAAAAGGTATTTTATTTTATAATTACGATATCTATCAGTCGCCCAACTTTGTCTTGGCAACAATTAGAAACATATTTCTCAGCTGTTTTTTTTTCATACAGCATGAGTGTTATTAAAATAGGATAACTAAAACAATTGCTTTATAGCTTTAATAAGAACGAGCATTATTTATAGCTGTTGTTAGCAACTTGCCATTTGGTACAGAATAGGGAATGTAATGCTGTAAACATAATACAAGTACTGTTTGTCTGTAGACATTGTTTGGTGATTTTCGAATGAGACATATATTTTGTTACTATATAAGTACATTCAATGTGCACAACAGGAATGTATGTTTAATAATTTTAGAGAATATTTTAATCATAAAACATAGCTCTCTAGGTTATAACTGCTCTGGCTTTGCCGTGTCAAAAGCATAGAAAGAAAGCTAACCCGTGCACGATTTTTACGAGGCAATTACCAAATGACCTTGCAGCACTCTCGTGTTGATAATTATATTGCATTCCATATGGCATATATTTTTTTTTCCGAGAATTACCTGGAAGATCTGCTTGAGGCTATGCTCAGACGGCGAAGGCAGGCACAGCATACTGAAGTGTCGAATGAAGCGTGGTGTAACAGGGTTCCTCCCGCCTCCCGGCGGGGCACAGGCTGCAGCAATGGTCACATCCTATTTAGTAAGAGGGAAGAAACCACCCCACCGCCCACCCAACACCAGTGCATTAATAAAAACATTTTGTTTAATTTTACCAGGTACATTTTTGCGTGTGTTTAGTATGTTGTTCCCGCCCCCCCCCCCCGCCGCACCTCCGATTAGCACGTTTGTCTATGTACAGTGTGAAATAAGTTTAATATACATACATACAAACAGGCAAGGCCCACTGAGCTATGTAGCTCTTTTTCAGGAGTGACCTGGCCACGTATGATAGCTCAACGAAGTGGCTTTTATCATGTGGAAATTTATAGCAGCCAAATAATCGAAATTCATGTTTGATTCTAACTATGGAGGGAAAAACCGGAGGACCCGTAGACAAATCCATATGAGCACGGGGAGAACATGCAAACTCCAAATATACAGGTGTCAATTTTGGGATCAAACTCACGACGTCCTGTATAGCAGGCAGGGTAGTTATCATCTCGCCACCGTGGCACCCCACATGCTTTGAATAAAAGTATTACATTTGGTAACCATCAGCAGATGGTGGCCCACAGAAAAACAGATCTTGCAGAAGGAAAAAGTACATGCCTGGATCTCCTTCCAGAACATTTTTTCCCGGTCATAAAATCCTCCAAAGTCCTGGTATTGGCGTAGCAGCTCAATAGGAGGTTGTGAACCGTATCGATCCAGCTTTGGCATGTTCAAGTCATCCACAAATATGATCACACGCTTCTTTCCCGGAGCACCTGTGGCACAAAAGTGTGCATCAGAAAACTCTCGATAAATGTTTTTGTTTATAAATGCACTTTAATGTAGATTTGATACAACTAAAACTACAAATAACAATCTGCTAGTTAAACTCAATGTAATTAAGTGGGATTACCTATGATGTTTTTCCTCTTCTTTTCCAGCTTGGACTCTATAATCTCTTGGGTTCTTGTGGATGATGTTTGAGCAGAGAAGTTAATGTACAGTGGGACGTACTGAGCCTCCTCTTGTATCTTGTCCAGCAATCCCCTTGCAACCACAGACTGAGTACACACACACAGACGTCACACAACTCAAACTCCAAGAGCAAGAGCAAAGGATGTTGATCATTATTTAATAGTTCAAGGAAAGAGATAAACAGCAATACCTTGCCAACACCTGTGGTGCCAGTGAAGAGGACAGAATGCTTTACTGCCAACAGTTTCTCCATGAGGTAGCCAAAGCGCATTGTGTCCGTAGTGGGCACCAGCATTTCAAAGAAAGGAACCTCTTTGTTGTATCGGAAGTTGGGGACGATTCTCTCCCATGGGTCGAGTCGCTTGGAGTCATAATCCATGTAATAGCTCCACAGATCCCCAGAACTGGGCAACTTTGTAAATAAACATCACGTAGAAACATTTATAATAATTAATGAAATGGAAGCAAACAGAACACACTACTAAATGTGAAGGTGATGAAATGTTTCTGTATCAATTTTATAATTTTGTCAATTCAAAGGCTGTGATGTGATCGTCTATGTTTACCTTAGCATCATGATTTTCTTCAAACTGATGTTTGACAAAAGTATCAAACTGATCCCAACAATTCTCCACCAGGTTCCCTCCCACAGCCCACAAGTAGCAGAACACAAATGTCTGACAAACAATGCTGGTCAGCCTGGAATGCTCCTGTCAGGTATGTGAAACAAGTGTAGATTACTTGATGTGGTTTATAAAAAACATTTTTAAACATCATTTTCTACTGACCTTTATGCATATAGAAAAGCACAGTTTAATAAAGAAATTTGAAAAACATGTCAGTGAAACAGGAACTAACTTTCCATAACATTATAAGATATAGTAAAACATTTCATATGGTAACGTTAAATGCTTTAAACAGACATTAAAACTACCATATTTGATCCTCCTAAAAAATAAAACAATTGCATTTGTCATACCATTTTAAGATCTGGACCTCCTTTTCCCAGCAGTAGGCTCTCCAACAGACAGCTGAGTGTGGTCACTTTGCTGATATCCACCTGGGGCATGGCCTGTGTACACTTTTTATTCACAAACCTGAGCCCATCTTCAACGTAGTTCTCAAAAAGGGCCATTATGTACTGTCCTGTGTCTTCCCCAAACTGAATATAAAGGAAAAAAGATATTCAAACTTTGACACCAATTTTTTTAATAGTAAACACCTGTAATGAAGTCAAGTACACTGTGTGTGGGTACATATACAATACTTTTGTCAATTCACTGTTGGATGAGAGCCTCCCCATGTCCTGCCCAACCTTCATTTGACATTACTTCACCACACCGGTTAGTACGGGATTGTGAAGGTGAGAATCATATAAGTGAAAGTATAGAAAGTACAGTACAGCAACAAATGATGCTGCACTGCCTTCTGTTGCCCACCACATAATTCTGCAGCCACATGTGACATTTGTCAGGGTTGCATATCCAAGCAATGTTCAAGATCAATCCTACTCAGCTTCCAAGATCTGATGAAATGGGGCACATTCTTGGTGGTTTGATCATGTCCAGTATACGATACCTTGTCAATTATCCCATTCATCCAGGTCTGCACATACGGCATCCACTTCAGCTCCTCGGAGTCAATGTAAACCATACCACAACGGCTTACGGTTGCTGGAGATGCCACCTTTAAGTCTTGCACCTAACAGTGTGAAATAAGAATTTTGTTTAACAAACATGATTTAGTTTATTGTTCCAAAATAATATTTTGGTAAATAAAATATATATTTTAAGCAGGGGAACAGAATCAATTAGAAATTGGATGTGAAAATAGTGTGCCATTGCTTGTAATAAAACAAAATTGCCAAACCTCAAAGATCATGTGTATTTGAGGCGTAAGCTTGATCCTCTCACTGTTAGCCAAGCAAAGCATCTTGTTGTCATCCAGCACAGTGTTCAAATTCTCAATCCAGAGAGCATCAACAGGCCCATCACAAACGATCCACTTATGGCCTTCAGAGTCATCAGCCACAGCCACTCTCACACTGAGGGCCATGAGCCCGTCACGCCATTCTAGTGTGAGATTATTCACCTCCCCGTAGAGCTCACCCATGCTGATGGACTTTGGATTCAGCACGGTTGTGTGGACTTTTTGATAAAATGGGTTGTGCTCGCTCTCACCAGCCTCGTGCAAGCTTCCCAGTGCATCAGACAAGGCTGTATAAACTGTGGTTTTTCCACCACCAGTAGGACCAACAAGCATAACTCCATGGCGTACCAACATCGTCTCGTACAACTGGATAACCTTGTGCACCATCGACGGCACAGCCTGCAGCTTACGAGCTTTCAGGGCATTCTCAATGGATGACTGCAGGGAGCCATAGTCATGATTCGGAATCTCAACCCCGGGGAACAAGTCTGAAAGGATTCCACTGTGAACAACAAATAACGGAGACAACACATGCTGAGAAAAAAGTTATTTTCACGGTTGAGATGATTCTTTTTTTCCAGTTATATAAGAAAAGATTAGCATTAATAATACTATGAATTATGCATAAGTTTAATTAAAGTAGTTATTACCTGAAAAGCATGGCATCGTCGGCGAGAAACTTCGGCAAATTGGAATCTCGTAGAGCTCTAATCAGCACAACATCTTCTCTCAGATGGGGATTTTCTCGCTTCAAGGATCTATACAAATTATATAAAATATGCAATTAAATATGTACAAACAAAAATGTCACGACCAATGGGCTATGCATGCAAACCTTCTCCAGCAATGACATACCCAGCCATTACGAGGACAGATTTGACAGCCCTCATTCCAAAGTCATAGTGGTCTTGCTGTGAGAGCTGCTCACTGCACAGCTTGTACATCTGAGTCATCTTCCTCGCCAAAACCCTGCTTGACTCGAATCCCTCTGAGTACAAAATCACCTAACCACGAAAAAAAACATGAGTAAACAATTGCATCAGCTCTACGTGTTATGTAGTGTACTATATTCCATTTTTTAACATTAACAATTTGCTATTTTTTGTACTTACCCATCTTAATTCTTAGCACAGTACACAGGATTTACGTATTTTTTAACTATAATGGGGCTGTAACATCATTTATCAAAATGAGTCTGTGTTAATTACTGACATGTAATGGCAAGAATATATTTTCCATTCATCAATAAAATAGGTTTACTTAGGGGGCTTAGTAATTCAATGGCATGCATTAACCCTAGGTTCACTCATGACACAAAGGCAAGTGATGAATACCAACACATACACCCACTCGGTCCAATACGTCATACGTACAAAAAAAAGGCAACAATTTGACAGTCACTGAGAGATGTACCAATGTATGTTTGGACGGCACTATATTGATTACGTTTAATTTATGCTCATTTACTCAGCAAACCTTCACTGAGCCTCAAGCCTTTTTTTTTAAAGAGGGGACTGCCAAACTTTTACAGCAGGGGGCAATGTTGCCGTGTGAAATCCCAATTGAGTAATTTACACGTAATACTGTATTCAAGTATTGGAGCGTTTTTTGGCCAATACCAGTTACTTTCTATGTTTGTATTACAACACTGTATTTGATGCTGCACATATATAACAAATTTAAGGTGAATCATAAATGACATACAGTAAAAATTCCAAGGAGTGCAGTCTTCATGCATGTGCAATCGGTTTAAACACATAGCTATAGCTTGTACATATAAAATGCAGTCACCAGAGTAATTTGATATTTTATTATTTCATAAAGAAATTAATGAACGAGCAATGTGATACTTACCTCAGCAATAAGAGCGTAGTTGGGAACCATCATAGCAATAGGGCGGAAGAGAGCTTTCAAGTTGTCTGGAAGCTCAGTTCGTCCAGCATATCCAGGATTCATAGTGATGAAGGCCGCACAGGTTTGAATCAACTTGATCTCTCTTCCTTCAAACATGAATCTGGGTACCTGTATACAAATTATGTATTCATTAATCAACCACTTACACAATAAGAGAGGATTAGGTACAGCATATAAAACCAATTAGGCCTCTGTATTGGCTTTAAGTGTAAAGGGTATGAGGTCAAATAAATTATTTGTACCTTGGCAGCTTTGGCATTTCTTATGGTTATCAGCTGTTGGGCTATCACTGACAACACTTCTATGTCAATTCGGTTGAATTCGTCGAAGCAGCACCAAGCGCCTGACTGCGCCAGACCACTGAAGAAACGTCCCATCATCTACGAACATCACAGCATTATAAATAAACATGATCCACAAGCATGTAAATTTGCCTTTCCTCTTTACACATTTCACAAAACAGCTTGGAGTACCAAGCATCACTCAAATTAAAAACATCACCTTGTAGTCCAGGCCATCAGAGCAGTTGAAAACCACGCATTGAATGGCCAGGGCCTTTGCCAGATCCTTGGTTGTCTCCGTCTTACCAGTGCCTGCAGGCCCTGCAGGAGCCCCTCCCAAATCCAACTGCAGAGCCCCCATCAGGCACAGGTAGCACCGGTCCTGTTGTCACCAGTTTCATAGTTAGTATCCCCATTGTAATATGTGCCATGAACACTGGTTTTACTCCAACAATTAAACCACTCACATCAATATAGTACTTTGCATCTAATTTTATCAAGTTTTAACACAGGCAGATACAAACACCCGATATACTCTTTAATTTGCTTGGAAACTAATTTCCTACCATGTTAATTGATATTTATATTGAGTAAGCAATACAATACTGGTAGAAATCCTTACCTCATCCTGAGTCTAGAATTTCTCACCATAATCAACGATGTTTGTGACACGGTAGTTGAGTCAATGTGGGGACAATTATGCCACTATATATGCACATTTCCACTAACTGCTTATCATGTTTCTGGCTGAATTTAATGCTTTTAACACAATTTTCATTTTTACTACTTAGGAATTTTATTTCATAACTGTATATTTCCCATTATGTCATAACAATGAGAGCTAGCTAATGAAACCAGTTTTCATGAGAACATTTATCCATACATGAAAGAGACCTGTCTAATTGAGCCTTAGGAAGTAAAACAATCCAGTATTTCTAAAGCCAGAATACAAAGCTATATCTAATCTGTCAGTAGTTTGAGATATATTATGTAAAAAGGTATACATGACTTCAAAGGATATATAGATTTGAAGACTAGGTTGTTGGATGCTGAGATACTTGGTGGGAATGGAGGTATGCACGGCATGTAATATAGTTCACTAACATTCATGGCTGTGTGAACTTGATTTTATGAATGCATCCAAGCTATACGAAGCTTGGCCAAACATACGTACCCATTCTTAATAATTTGATGAGCTGCTATATTCTTTTGTATACCTTGAATGTTATTATATTAATATTGATCTAATGAACAAAACACGGTTTTACTCGGTTATGTACAATTCAATTTGATATATTATTAGATCGGTTTTAAACAGCATGTTGGATCTATTTCTTTTTATGAAATAGACTCACAAATTGAATGCCCTGGTTAATATTGACCATGTGTCAACTCACGGTAAGTGGAGTGATGACTAGGCGAGGGCAGGCTCCCAGGTATTCGTAACCGTACACGTACTGTGAAAGCGCCATTCTGGCCACACAGTTGTCAAGCTCTAGGTCCCAGTAGTATCGCAGCTGTCGCTGCCACTCAAAGTTGTTAGCAGTCTCCACCTGCAGGTTACACACAGTACAAATACCCTTTGTGTCAAGGTTAAGGAACACAGGAATGCCTTAAGGGTTAAAACTTTTGTTTAAAAGCAGGTTTTTTGGGGGTAAATGCAATGCCACAAATAAATAAATAAAACTTGTGTCATTCAAAACAATACAAATGTGTTGATTTGTAGTGTATTATTTCCAAGATTTTACAAATGATAGTGGATAAATAGCTTTCAGTGCTTCTCAATGAATTTTTTTTTATTTGTACCTTTGGCTGTTTGATTAAGATCAATAATATGTAATAAAATATTGCCCTCTGCTGTATCATCTACATTGTACAAGAGAGATCACTGTAATAATAATAACAGGGTTTTTCCCCTTTTTTTCTGGCAACAAAACTGAAACCTTTTTAGAAGGATTCATGTCTGCATTAACCACAATACCTGCAGTCAAAATGCAAACAAAAAACATACTATGATAATATATGCATTGTCCTTGAAACTGATTAGTCAACACCAAGGGACGGCTTTCTTTTGAGCCTCGACCCAATTGGTGCTCGACCAGATGACGCCAAAAGGCTTTTTGGCATCCCTTGGTATGGACCAATCAGTTTCAAGGACAATGCATATATTATCATAGTATGTTTTTTGTTTGCATTTTGACTGCAGGTATTGTGGTTAATGCAGACATGAATCCTTGTAAAAAGGTATCAGTTTTGTTGCCAGAAAAAAAGGGGAAAAACCCTAGTATTACATTTTGGTACTGGCAAAGGAGGTCTAATGATGATGATGAAAGAGATCACTGTCTTTTAGCAGCCTGACAATCAGTTGAATCTCATGTTATTGGCTACTTCTCTCTTCTAAAGAGCTAAAAAATAAACCTAATTTTAATGCAAAGAAATAAGTATAATAAATAGCCTATTGGGTGAATTCAAACAAGTTCCAAAGAAAAACATTCGAGCCATTGCTTTTAAAAACATAGCCTTACGCCTTGACAGTTTTCATAATTTATATATTACTTTTAACATCTATCTCATTTGATTAGTGTTTGCAGTGAGAATCTAACCTTTTCTTGAACCATATCCGTGACTATATCTCTCGCATGTACATCAACTGTAATCAGAGCTGTGATGATGCACCGATGGATCTTGGGCAAATTTCCGCGGACCAGACAGGCTAAAGAATTTAATCTCTGAAACACAAACAAACAACAGACAGGGCATCAAGACAGCAAAATTAACAAAACCATTAAAATTCATCTCCATGTCAACTCTTCCAACAGCAGGTCTTTTAATGAGTTTGACACTTGAACGCTCGTCATCAACCTACCTCAAAATTTTCCTTTTCAAAATTCGCAACAGATTGCAGGTGATCATGGTCACCTCCCTCCAGACACTGAGTCAGGTCTCGACACCACATCAGTTGAGCGACCGTCAATACAACCTGCGGGCATCCGGAGAAGTGGAATAACACATTCAGTGTATTCATATATACTTTCTGGAGCTAAATGACCCCGAGTAGTGATGAATGCCTCTGAGAAAAAAACTGATAAAAGGCAAGTATTGGACAATCGATGGTGATAGAAATGAACATGTATGTGAACCACCCTTTTGTCAATCCACTGCTGGATGAGCACATCCTCATGCAATGCAGGTCATGGGGAGTATTGGACCATACTTCACCATACTGGTCAGTGTGGGTTGGTGAAGTTGAGGAGCATACATGATAGAGCATAGATGTACAGTACAATCATGTATTTTGCTGCACTCCCCTCTGCTACCCACCACATAGATTTGCAGCCTACAATAGCTGTTATTCTTGGTGACCACCCATGCATGCACTATCCAGGCTCAACTTCAGATATCTGATTAAATTGAGCACATTCCTGGTGATGTGATCATAGGTTTAATTATTATCAATAAATAGTCGGTGATATATACATTTTATATACATATCTTCTTTAAGCACTGATCTACCTGTGATGGGAGTCCTGACACCACCCATTCAGTACGGGGCATGCTTTGGTATTCACCAATGGCCATTTTTGTGAGCCTTCGCAAAGACTGAAACATTGCTTCTTCCACTTTCCCCAACCAATCTTCCACATTGCCACGGGCCTTCAGACCCTTGCCCAAGCTCACCTGCAATACAATACAGACCATGAACCATGTGCCTCCCTGCTTTACAGTTACACGTCAGCTGCGTCGTGCCTTCTCTTATTCCACCAAAAAAAAACCATGTAATTATTTCATGAATCTAAATGTGCATATAACAAGTATATTTTGATTTTTAAAACTGAATTGCGTTTTCATTGTACATCATTGATCTCCAGACTGTTATGAATTTTGAATACTATAACGTGAATTTTTACAGCATATGTTCTAACTAAATAAAAACTAAATTTTAAGACGAAGAAATAGCAAAGAATAAATAACTGCTCACCCACCTTTTCCCCCTCAGGGGAAACCATAGCGAGGATATCGTTGGTGAACGTCCTCTCTTGCTCACCCTCAGCTGGTGCCAACGCAAACTCTAGCCGGGCGATGGCATCAAAGCACTTGCGCAGGTGCGGCTGCACTGCCTGAGGATTGCGCGTCTGTGCAAGGATCTCCAGAAGCTCGTCATTGGATAAAAAGTAGAATCTGTCAACCGAAGACGAATGACAACATATTTTTGATTGAAGTAGAGGAGCTTTTTGATTTACTGTCGGAAAAAGTATAACATAATTGTGAGTAATACACGTTAATAATATTCTTATTCGTTCAAGGTGGCAAACCTTAAAAAAAATCATTTGTTGTGCAGGTGCTTAGATGGAGTGTCACAACGCCAGACCGTGAGAAGGCAATGGCGTGAGGGTGCCTTCATTCAGCAGTAAATTGATCATGGCTGATAATGCTGATAACTTAAAGTGTAAGAATATGTTGTATAGATATTTTGCCAATTAAAACATGAAAGTGAAGCTCACCTTGGGAAAACCACTCGTTTGGATTCTAAATATGCTTCAAGGCACTTTTGGATTTGTTCAAGTAATACATTGTTATTCTTAAATGTGTCCAGAAGGCCTGAAAAGAAAACAATATAATGTTATATTCTTAGTTTTTTCGGTAAAGTCACGTTGAAGAGAAACAACAAAAATAACAAAATATATATAAAACAATAAAAAATTATCACGACGTTTCGACCATAACTCAAACGGTCATCATCAGGTGTGTCGGTTTTATTGTTTTATATATATTTTGTTATTTTGTTGTTTCTCTTCAACGTGACTTTACCGAAAAAACTAAGAATATGAATTACTGCAGTCACGAAAGCTTTAAATCAAAATTTAATATGTTAATTAAAATAGCCACAACATTGTAAAACAAATTAGTATTTGTGCGAAAATGCAATGGTTAAAACATAGCCCTTAAATATATTTATTTCAAATACTGTAATAAAATAATCATAGTTCTCATGACAGTGGCAAATATGGACTCTTCCTGAATGCAAATAACATTTAATGAAATGCATATACGTTGACATGATAAAAAAACACACAGAATGCACGCAATCACCACAGTCGATGGTAAAGTTATAGAGGAAGTAGATGAAGTCAGTTATCTGTGGTAACATATATCAAACCTAGGATTCTGTTCCAGAAAAATCAAAACCATGGCCTCCCTTAGATAAGTTTGAAAAAAATAAATGGAATCTTAAATTATATGATGGTTGAGTGGGTGAAAAGTTACATTTATTGCACAGATGCTTATAGATGTGAATAATAGGAAATGAATATTTTTTACAAAAATATAACGCAGGTTTATAGGTTAGATACGGTACTGGCAAACACTCTTACCTATATCCTGCAGTGAAATATTGGAAAGAAGAAGTATTGCCACCAGAAATAAACATGTGCAAACGCTTATACTTTGGTCACATCAGACAAAGAAATTAAATAACCATGTAAAAACTATCGTAGAAGAAATTATGTTGGACCATCATACAAAGTTGGCTATGTAGGGTGCGAAGGAAGTTCAACATACATACATACAACCAGCAAGGAGATGGATAGATGGTAGGTGACAGATCGGTGGGAAATCAGCTGTTGAGCACAAGAAGCTAATGGTGGATCGAGAAGGCTACTGCAAGTGTTGCTAAGATATCACTAATATTCAGCCAAAGATAAATGATTTTAACTTAACTTAATGAAATTATAGGTATTAATTTTAACCCAGTCAATAAAATGAATAAATACCAGGCTGAGTGGCTGCCCGTAAAGCATTGGGAAGACGATAAATCTTCCTCATGATGTCCTTCCAAGACTTGTCCACCTGCATGAACATCTTTGCCTCAGCTGGTAGCTGCCTCTGGATGTCTGGTGCACTGAAAATGCTTTCTAGATAAAGCCAGTTCCGTTGGCATGTCATCCATTCTTCCTGTAAAGCAGCATTAAGGCACAGTGTTGCTTTACTATCGAATACAATTTATAGGCTCCAACAATTATGTTTTCTTCAATAAACAATCAAGGTGCACCAGTAATGACATTATTAATATATGGCCACTTCATCTCCTCAAGGCTGTAATTATAGACAAGCATTCGCATTCCAAATAGCTTAAAATAACTGTACTTGGCGATTTTTTTTTAAAAGCGAAGAAAAAAATCAATATCCTTGGTTCTTTCGGTAAAGTCACGTAGAAGGGAAACAATAAAATAATAGAAATATAAAACAATAAAATTCTCACGACGTTTCGACTGCAACACAAGCAATCATCATCAGGTGTGAAAACTACAGCAAGAAAATTTGAAAAAAGTAGTTTTCACACCTGATGATGATTGCTTGTGTTGCAGTCGAAACGTCGTGAGAATTTTATTGTTTTATATTTTTATTATTTTATTGTTTCCCTTCTATGTGACTTTACCGAAAGAACCAAGAATATGAATCCCTGCAGTCACGAAAGCTTTAAATAAAAAAATCACTATTACCTGATAAGGCATAATTTGCACAATCAATATAATATTGAAGCTAAACAGTCTCATAACACTCCTTTGTCCAGCAACATGCAAAAATAATATGACGGATGTTTACATAATTAATCGAGACATGCGGCTGGCAACATACCAGCGTTTGATTGAAGAGCAAGAGTTGCCTTTGCCACTCATCAACCCGAGATTTAATTGGTCCAACATATCGTGAAGAAGTTATGGTGGAAATATTAATGATGCTGTCATCCAAAAGAATCTGAATAAATGTGACAAAATATGTTCATTATAAGAGGTGCAAAAACATCACGCACGTGGAAAATGGGCTAAAGTCATGAAATAAAAGATCGTGTCTAATCAACAGATGATGTTTGATGTAATGTTGGGTCATTTTTTAGAACACAATATTTCTAGCGGATACAATGATTATTTTTTGTTTTAAAGAAATAAGTACATTTTTTACATGTGACCACCATACAAACAGAAGGTATAACGTCCATAACATGTGGCTGATATGATAATTATTGCATAACTGTTCAACATAACATATACTCTCAATAAATATAACTTTTTTTAATTTACCTGAATTTCATCAGTTCCTGCCAAAATAAAAACATCTTTTGAATCACGATGAGGCAAAACAACAAACTCTGCAGTCTTCCAGCCATCTTCAACCTGCAAAACATCCAATCTTTTAACAATAACAGTGACACTTTTAGTATGTTAACTACAGTTTCGAAGTATATTCACGTTGGTGGGTTAAGTTTAATTTAATCGATGTTTTAATGACTTTAGGCACTTAAAATGGGCCCCAGCCATATGAGAATGCAAAGGCAAGGCACCTTTTTAAGGATAGACTCAAGAGATGCTTCTCCAGATGCCTGTCCCGACACGTCCTGGATTTGCTCAGCATAATGGAAAACTTCCAGCTCAATAAGGCCAGCAAGTGTGAGTGGAGTCTCCTTATCCCGCAATGGAGCACCTATAATCTCTTCCAACATCTCCCAATGACGGGCCTTCAGGGATGGGTTTCTCAGGAATGCAACGACTGGCAGCTGAGTGCAGGCAGAGTGAGGAACAAAATTATAAATGTAATTAAATACATTTAGTTAATTTTTTTTAAGAATTAGGTCAACATTCTTGCAGGACATGCATATCAAATGTATATTTGGAAAGTATAAGACATAGCCTTGCAATTACATTACGTTGCTCACCCTACCTTTTCTCTGATAAATTCAACCTTCTTTTTCAACAGTGGAACTACATTATTTGGTGGCAGTCCCTTCTCCAACTGGTTAACAATCTTCGCATATTTGGCGACCTCACTGTTCAGTTGTTCAGGATCCAGGGTTTCAAATTGACACTGTGCAAACATTCACAAAGTAGGTGAGAAAAGTACATTTTAAAAACTAAAGAAACACATTACAGAATGCAGAATGACTCATCTGTGTCCAATGTATTGAAGATTTGCACAAATTATCTGTGTGTTTGAGACGTTGAAGAAAGTTATCCAGACATCGTAAAAATATGAGTTAATTATGCAGCAAAACAATATGAAACAACAGGCAGGAACATTTTTATGTACATTTAATGGTAGAATTAAAAAAGGCAGAGTAGCACTTCTGCTTTTAAGTACCTCCAACCATTCCTTGGTAAACACCTCCCACTCATCCAAACTGTCCCACATCATCTGTTTTCGCTTTAGTTCATCACATACTTCATTCAAAGCATCAAAATTTGTAACTTCCACCTGAAAAAATAAAATACGAATAAAAAATGTACATCACAAAAACAATAAAAAGTATTGTATGAACACACATGTTTAGTAGCAACAAAAATTGAAATACAATTAATAACAATGAATACATGAGTACATCATTTTAGAAAACACAGCTACTCGATTGTATAATTCAAAGGTAGCAAACCTTAAAGTTCTTTTGGTAAGCCCTGTACTGAAGAGCCTGCTGCTGAAATTCATCTGTGGCAATCATCTGTTCTTTCAGTATCTCCCGAACCTTTGTCTTGTCACTTGTAATATCTAAAATCATAGGGTCCTAAGGCACACAAAACAAACGTAATTTTTTATTGTTTAGGGTATACACTGTTTTAGACCCTGCCATAGGAATACATTTACAACATTGGCTCAGGGCCAGCAGTGGGAATGTCCACAACCTGACAGTCATCTGAGCAGACACATTTTGAATCCATAACTTTGTTGGTGCAGAGTTAAACAAGATAAGTAGCAAAGACAAATAATAGTTGTGAAAACATTTTGAGAATGACATACTAAAAAGAAATGCATGTGATTTTTGTTTCAAAGCTTCTGACCACCTTGTAAACATGTATGTTTCAGTTCTTACCTGAGCTCGCTGTTTTACAATCTTCACCTCCATATTAAGCTCCAAAATGTCCTTATCAAGATGCTGGCAGAACTTCTCAAGGTTGCCATCACGCTCGCCAACTGCCTTATCAATGGTGTTCTGGACAGATATGATGGACTGCTCCAGTGTCGAGTACACCACAAGGTCCTCCGGTGGTGTTGGCACCTTGAACTGCTCTATCAACTGATACATCTGCACGACAATCTGCATCTCTTCCTCAAGCACCTGAATCTGTAAAAGAAAAATATTTCCAGAGACAAAAAACATTGTTTTAAAACTGTTTTAAATCATAATCCATTATTTATCCACTGCTGGATGCATGCCTTCCGGAGCTGTAACAATGTCACGGTTGTATGATGCAACAATTCATATAGCTCCTGCGCATGAGGTGCTTTCATTGTCCCATCTCTGTGGTCATCGTTTTGGCGTGTTCCTTCCTTTGGCTACCACTCCATCGTTCGTCTTGATCACTGGCCATCACTCCTTGTCATGTGTCCTGATGAAGCTCACTCACTTTGCTTAAGTCAAAATAACGTCAAACTTGTGTAAATTATATAATCTATATGTTCCTTTCTGTTTCTCAGTATAAATTCCAAGCATGTATCTTCTCGTGCTTATTGCCACACGTTTCAGCTTTTGTTCCATTTTATTGATGAACTTCTACATTTCATTGAAAACCTAGCCCTAGCCGCCTTATACAGTATTTTTAAATAGATAAAATAAAATCAAACTTAATTTAACCGTGTTATAATCAAGGTTCTTGTCAAAGCCGACATTTTGCAATCTACCATAACGTGTACATTTATGAAAGCAAGACATTTTCCTGCAGGTGCTTTTATGGCCACGGGCTAATGAGGATCTTCCAACATTCCTTACCCGGTCTTGGATCTCGTCAAGAAAGGTGAGGCTGTTTACAAACTCAAAGGTAGTGGAGGGTACTATCTCTAGCTTGAATTGCCCATCACGAGCTTCTGAAATGATGGCATCTGTCTTCTTTCTAGACAGCACTGGCAACAAGTCATTAATTGCCTGAAAGAAAAATCGGATAAAAACATGAATACATTATTAGTTCAAAATGTCTAATTGTGAATCAACTATATTAATGTTGCCATCAATTTTGCTTCTAACACCCAATATCAGTATGCAGCACTGGCAGTAATTTATACAACTTTAATATCACAATATTTAATTGTCTTATATTCTGTTGAAAGACACATTTTAAATCTATTTTCTAAAAAAAAAAATCCCTCTATCTCACATTCTGACACCGCAGTGGTGAGGGAATCAATTTTTTCTTCAGTTTGGTTGCATCAACCAATAGCATCCCCAAATCTCTCCTCTCTTTGATAGCCACTGCATCCTTATGTTGTTCATGATATTTTGCAAGACTCTCTTCAAAGAAGGCCACATCTGCAAAGATATCACAAATGAAATATTTTAAAACCCAATTAAAGCAATGTTTAGTGAAATGAAAAATTCTTTGTTACAGAAATGTTCAAATACTGAGCTCATTAAACAAGACCACATGTGCAAAGCCGTTAAAATATTAAGAACTACTTCGGTGATACATTGCTAAATATACCATGCTCTTTGTTTTTGAGGGCTTCTAGATCCAAGCTCTCATTCTCTTTGTAGAAAAGCCTGAACTGTTCAAACGTATCAGCATATAGGCCAGCAGCATTAAATGCTGTTCGTATGACCTCCTGTATGAAACAAGAAATTAAACAATAAAACATTCACATGCGAAATCATCCACGAACACAAGATGTAATAAATAACATTCATGTAAAACTAAATTAATTTGAGAATGATCATACACATTTGTATTACTACTGAGAGACCCTATAAATGATTTACAGTAGTTGTATATAGCTTTAACATAGATTGATATCTGCATATTCTACAGCATAAACATATGAAGCACATATGTATATAAATTATAAATGTTTCAGCTATCGAATCATGTACACATTTGTTCTTTTTGTAATGTATGTATTTAATCAACTATTTATCATACATCATTATTTTATTGTTCGATCTATTTATTATAACTTTAAATATGTCGTATCATATTCATGTTAATGTGAGGCAAACACATACATTTCTGTGCATTTCGAAGCAAATACAAATGTGTTTCACTGTGCGTCAAATCATATACCTGCACGCCTCCTATGATTTTATGGAGGTGTTTGTCATCTTGAAAAATGGTTTCTAAGCTCGGGCCCTCCCCACAGCTTTTTTCTTCACGCTTCTTGTTGATTATAGGTTGGGTGAATGCATCAAAATAGATGTCGGTGACAAGGTTGTCTACAGACAAAACTGTATCCTTGAAAGAGTCAATCACCACGGAGAGTCCATCCTATATTGGGCATATATATCATTGGCAATTAGTTGACAAATGTTGACATCCCTTTTAAAAGGCATACATTTGCATAACAATTCACGAAGGTAGAAAATTAATAGATCACGACGTTTCGATCGCAACACAAGCAACCGTCATCAGGTGAAACAAACACAGCAGGAGCACTGCTGACGTAGGAAAAAAAAACAAAAATAAACAATCAGCAAAAGAGTGTAATAGATACCTGGAACTCATTCTGAGATGGCGCAAACATTAAGCTTTCGGGTTCCAGCATGAATTCTGTCAGGAACAAAGGAAAAACCTGCTCTGTCTCTTCTTGAGCAATGACAGCCTCCTGACAAGAAAAAAAAACAAGAGCAATATTCTCCATAGATAACACTTTGGTGTGTATAGCCATTTGATATCGCAAGACATGACAATAAAACGTGGCTAAATGAACCAACTGCTCTGAAGGCACCTTTTTGGTCATTGGCTCTTCTCTGGGCTCACAAGCCCAGGCTTCGATGAGTTCTTTTGAGGGTGTCTTCTGCAGCTGCTTTGTCAGTTGATTAAGGAGGGTGCTGACTGTGTTCACAGCAAGGATGTGCAGTGTGTTCACAATCACATAATCAGCCAGCCGGATGAAACTGAAAGGAAAACAGCCAGAGATTACTCTTTCCTTACATTTGACCATTACAAACCATGAGTTTAGAGTACTGTGTAATTTCTGTGCAATGCCTGTATCATATACTGTCTTTTATTCAAGTGTGTGCACAAACCAGGTAAGCTTGCCACAGTGTTTCCTCTTGTTTGCCTGTTCAGTGTAGCTCATCTTTTCAGGAGCATCTCCAAAGGGATCCAAATCGTACTGTGACTGAAACAAAATGCTGGAACCACCCGTCTCCGCCTTTTCATCGCCTGTAATTTCATACATGTAATTGTAGCAAAACCAGCAAAATATCCCTCACACTAAAATACCACAGTTACATGTTTTGAAAACAATGTATTAAAATCCTGACAAAATGTATACTTATAAATGTAATTCCTTGCCTGAAAGCTCTGGATCATTGAAGTAATCATCAGGTGTGAATCCAGCTTCCAACAATGCAGTTCGACAAGCACTTCTTACAACCTCCTTTGCCAATTCACGAAATTCAGAGAGATGCACCAGAACCTGTATTTACAAAACACACCATCACATAATCTCATCTGATACGTAAATAGCCTCATTTGTAAAGTTAAACAGAAACATGTGGAACAGTAAGCATTGTCTGCCACGTTAAGACCTTGTGCTAACGATGACCTATCAATGTAAACATAAAACTGACCTCTTTCAGGTGGTCGACCTGGGTGATCATGAACTCTTCGAGTGTGTATGTCCGACCACTTTCAATCATGCAGAGTCTCATATTACCAACGCGGTGACACATGTCCTTCACATTGAGAAGGGCAGGTCGTAATGACTGTAAAATAAAATGACAAATTAAACAAACAAAAAAATCATTTTGTAAACGTTACGAACAGAAAAATAATAATCATGCCATAATAGACCATAAATATAATCAACATAAGTTTGAAATAAAACACTCACAGCATTGACAATAAACAGGTTTTCCTGCAGGGCTCTACGGCAGGCATTTATTTTTTTGCTCCGGACATTTTTGCGCCAAACACTGAAGGCCTTCCACTTGCGAAAATGGGAAAAAGTGGGAATGCTAAGCAGGCGTCGGTGATAGCGGTACTCCTCCTCCCATCGATCAAGGGGAGTGAAGTCCACGTCCCCATCACGTGTTAACAGCACGCCCTGCTCACTGATGGTGAGGTAGTTGTCCTTGTTGATTTTCTCATACGTGACAACTCTAAATCAATGAAAAGCAGTTTGGGATATTAATGTTAAGAACAAAAATAACATATATGCATCTATGATAATAGAAACAACATTGCATGGAATTTTCATGAGTAAATTTAATCTGTTACATTAGAACGAAGACAAAATATAGGAATAAAACTATTATCGATTTCAATGTTGTTTCAATATCTTCATAGAATTCCATGAACAACAAATTCTTAACATGAGAAAAAAAATCAATAAGTAACTAAAAAAGCTTATCTGTAGAAATTCAGTGATTGTAAAAAGCCTCACTTCAGATTGAAGGCATCATATTTGATTGAGGAGCGAGGTGCAGCCGGCACCACGTAAACGTATCCCAGCTCCTTGTTCTCACGGATGACATGCGCGATGTCAAGTGGGTCACTGATTCGAGCGCTGATCACGTCGTCTGCGGTTCTGAAGGAGTGGCTTTGTGCCAGGGTGGTCCGGCTACGTACATTCAAAGGCTTCAGCTCAGTCCGAGGTTGTTTGGGTGGTGAGGGTGATGCTATCCTGCTATCCTCTATTCTCTGTTCAAAACACATAAAGTGGAATAACATTTGAAACACACGATTCAATAGCACAACATAAAAAAATGTTTATAAGAGTAAATGATGTTCATGCGCAAGAATATTAACAAAAAAATATTTGTGTATAAGTATTCTTAAGGTACAGATGTAATTGACATCCACCACAAAGCTTCTAAAATAAAATTTCAACAGCAGAGGGGTTTTAAGTAAATAATGCACTGACCTTTCCCTGTAGTCCTTTGGGAAGCTGAGGCAAATTAGGAACGTGTCCAGATGAACTGATGGACACGGAATCACTCTCCACATATTTGACTACATCCAGCCCTTTCCAGCCTTTTGCCAATAATGCCTCACGATTCTTCTGATAGATGTATTCAGGCATATGCTGCTCTTGGTACAATTTTAATGCTGGCTAAAGTGATAAAAAAACCGATTAAGTATGTTAACACATCAAAAGCCTCGCGATAGTCAAATAAATGCTAAAATATTGACATTCAATACACTAAACATAGCTCACCAAAGGTTCAATTCTTGGTGGTTGGGCTCGAACTCGGGCTGCCTCTTGGGCCTTCGTCCGTCGTGGAAATTTGAGTACATGAGGCTGAGGAGCGGCCTGCATGGGAGCCCTGTGTACCATTCGTGCCACCAGGGCCGCAGGTTCGATGCGTGGCAACAGCAGAACCCGGTCCGCCACACTAAGTCCATCACTGCCACTGCTATTGCTACTGGTGCCCCGAATGCTGGGTTCCACCAATGGTGTGCTGATGCCAGGAATTCCCACCCCTACGTGGGATGGGTTTTCCTAAAGGAAATAAAATATTGTTTAAAAATATGATACAGCACACACAAATATTCAGACATTGTTACAAAGGCATTTTATTTATTGTTATATATTTTTTTACTGAACCTAGTAACATTGTTAATGAGGTGTCTCTGAAATCAAATGTTACATGAAAGTTTCATGAAACAAAAAACAGATCGAGGCCCTCATTATTTCTTATGGGCAATATTGTTTCATAACACTGTGTGATATTAAATTGGCAAAACATGGCTCAATATTACGTAGACAACGGCAGACAACCACTCTACTACTTATGGTTAATGAGATTTTAGATGCAGTAAGTACTGAACATGGCCAACATTAGGGATAGTACTTTAACATATTCAATACATGCTTGTACATCAATTCAGTGGATCACGTTTCAATAAAATGCAGGTTACTTTTTTTTGCTCTTATATCCCAATTATATTTCAAGTCTCCTACGAGTCTAATATCATGAGACATACATCTCCATTCGCAACTCCTGCAGAAATTTTTTTATCACCCCATGTAAGGCAATGCCCCTTGGACAATGACATGAAGGAACTACTGCGTATCTATGGAAAAGAGCTTTATAGCTCATCGGATTCCTCCAGGATAAGTAAGTATTCTGATTCTGAACTACAAACTTTATTACAGTAGAGTCCTCTATCTCTCTGAGAGTCTAAGTCCTGACAATTGCCTCGTATCCACAATAGGTGGTGTGTACCGTCTCACATTCCCAACTATACAGATTTTAATCGCATGACATTCAAACCTTGAAAAAAAATAGTTGGTACATTCAACATTCATCCAAACGTTGCGTTTTCGTGCAGTCATTCATGATCGGCCTGAGACCATCATCAAGTCGCTACGTTTGGAAATACGATGTGTAATTGCTGAAGTCCAAAATCTAACCAAAGACATCAGTGGTGCTGGCTAAGTGGATGGATATCGAGCCCGATATAAACCCCCTGGCGCCATCCAACTATCTCGGTCACATACCTGTCAACCCCTTTATCAGTTGCCTACCTTCTTACAGACCAATTCAGACCTCATTGGTCACCCCGTGCCCTTACAAAATATCAACGTTCATCCGACAAAATCCCATCACAAGGGAGAAACACAAATAAATATACATTTTTTTTTGCCCTTACTGAAACGGTTGTACGCCGTATGGACCTGAAAACTAAAACTTCCTGTACAAGAATACGGAGTAAACCTTGTGGGTTGACAGGTCAACACAAATCGGCGATCCTAACACCACTGCAGTGACATGAACCAAATGGAAACCTCTTTGGAATGGATGCAAGTGGACTTCAATAGCCCATTATCACACAACCAAACGGCCACTGAGTATTAGTATACGAGCAAGAATACTTTCTGCATTCAAACCAAGGAACTCTTTGTCATGTGTGTTAAACTTTGTAATCGGATGCGCTTCGGGTAACCATGGCAACGGGTGCCATGGCTTGTAGCGGTAATATTTCACGCATAAGCAGCTTAACTATACCGCCTGAGAAAATAAATCGCAGACAACGTAGACTTACCATTCGCCGAAAGCTGTATCGCTATTATTTTTAGAACCTTTTTTTTAGCCAACAACAAAACAAAAAACTATGAAACACAGCCGCCGCATTGGTTTGGGGACTTCTGAATGTTAATGAAACTCAACAACTTTACTCGGGAGGGCGGGCGCGCAGCGCTGCTTAGATTTCCCACAACACATAAGCGCGCTGCCCGCGCCGGGATTGGTCAGCTCGCCCGAGCGCGTGCGCGGACGGCGACCAATCCCGAGCGGCGATGTCGCCCACTCGTGCTGGCAAATGTAAAACTCCGGCCGCGTCGTTGTTGACGTTACTAGGTGGGGGGGGGGCTACGCGTGTTGCCCTGGGCAACGGGGAACGCGCTGCCACCCACGTGACTGGAAGCCTTTGCCAGGTGAGAGAATGGTTCCCTTCAGGTTCACCACTGCCCGTCACTTATTGGCAGCTGTGCCAGGTTGAGAGAGGGTTTTCCCTCCAGATTCACCACTGCCAGTCACTTATTGGCAGCTGTGCCAGGTTGAGAGAGGGTTTTCCCTCCAGATTCACCACTGCCCGTCACTTATTGGCAGCTGTGCCAGGTTGAGAGAGGGGTTTACCTCCAGATTCACCACTGCCCGTCACTTATTGGCAGCTGTGCCAGGTTGAGAGAGAGTTTTCCCTCCAGATTCATCACTGCCAGTCACTTATTGGCAGCTGTGCCAGGTTGACAGAGGGGTTTCCCTTCAGGTTCACCACTGCCCGTCACTTATTGGCAGCTGTGCCAGGTTGAGAGAGGGTTTTCCCTCCAGATTCACCACTGCCCGTCACTTATTGGCAGCTGTGCCAGGTTGAGAGAGGGGTTTACCTCCAGATTCACCACTGCCCATCACTTATTGGCAGCTGTGCCAGGTTGAGAGAGAGTTTTCCCTCCAGATTCATCACTGCCAGTCACTTATTGGCAGCTGTGCCAGGTTGAGAGAGGGTTTTCCCTCCAGATTCACCACTGCCAGTCACTTATTGGCAGCTGTGCCAGGTTGAGAGAGGGTTTTCCCTCCAGATTCACCACTGCCCGTCACTTATTGGCAGCTGTGCCAGGTTGAGAGAGGGGTTTACCTCCAGATTCACCACTGCCCGTCACTTATTGGCAGCTGTGCCAGGTTGAGAGAGAGTTTTCCCTCCAGATTCATCACTGCCAGTCACTTATTGGCAGCTGTGCCAGGTTGACAGAGGGGTTTCCCTTCAGGTTCACCACTGCCCGTCACTTATTGGCAGCTGTGCCAGGTTGAGAGAGGGTTTTCCCTCCAGATTCACCACTGCCCGTCACTTATTGGCAGCTGTGCCAGGTTGAGAGAGGGGTTTACCTCCAGATTCACCACTGCCCATCACTTATTGGCAGCTGTGCCAGGTTGAGAGAGAGTTTTCCCTCCAGATTCATCACTGCCAGTCACTTATTGGCAGCTGTGCCAGGTTGAGAGCGGGGTTTACCGCCAGACTCACCACTGCCCATCACTTATTGGCAGCTGTGCCAGGTTGAGAGAGGGTTTTCCCTCCAGATTCACCACTGCCAGTCACTTATTGGCAGCTGTGCCAGGTTGAGAGAGGGTTTTCCCTCCAGATTCACCACTGCCCGTCACTTATTGGCAGCTGTGCCAGGTTAAGAGAGGGGTTTACCTCCAGATTCACCACTGCCCATCACTTATTGGCAGCTGTGCCAGGTTGAGAGAGGGGTTTACCTCCAGATTCACCACTGCCAGTCACTTATTGCCAGCTGTGCCAGGTTGAGAGAGGGTTTTCCCTCCAGATGCACCACTGCCCATCACTTAATGGCAGCTGTGCCAGATTGAGAGAGGGTTTTACCTCCAGATTCACCACTGCCCGTCACTTATTGGCAGCTGTGCCAGGTTGAGAGAGGGTTTTCCCTCCAGATTCACCACTGCCCGTCACGTATTGGCAGCTGTGCCAGGTTGAGAGAGGGGTTTACCTCTAGATTCACCACTGCCCATCACTTATTGGCAGCTGTGCCAGGTTGAGAGAGGGGTTTACCTCCAGATTCACCACTGCCCGTCACTTATTGGCAGCTGTGCCAGGTTGAGAGAGGGTTTTCCCTCCAGATTCACCACTGCCCGTCACGTATTGGCAGCTGTGCCAGGTTGAGAGAGGGGTTTACCTCTAGATTCACCACTGCCCATCACTTATTGGCAGCTGTGCCAGGTTGAGAGAGGGGTTTACCTCCAGATTCACCACTGCCCGTCACTTATTGGCAGCTGTGCCAGGTTGAGAGAGGGTTTCCCTCCAGATTCACCACTGCCCGTCACTTATTGGCAGCTGTGCCAGGTTGAGAGAGGGTTTTCCCTCCAGATTCACCACTGCCCATCACTTAATGGCAGCTGTGCCAGATTGAGAGAGGGTTTTACCTCCAGATTCACCACTGCCCATCACTTAATGGCAGCTGTGCCAGGTTGAGAGAGGGTTTTCCCTCCAGATTCACCACTGCGCGTCACTTATTGGCAGCTGTGCCAGGTTGAGAGAGGGTTTTCCCTCCAGATTCACCACTGCCCGTCACGTATTGGCAGCTGTGCCAGGTTGAGAGAGGGGTTTACCTCTAGATTCACCACTGCCCATCACTTATTGGCAGCTGTGCCAGGTTGAGAGAGGGGTTTACCTCCAGATTCACCACTGCCCGTCACTTATTGGCAGCTGTGCCAGGTTGAGAGAGGGTTTTCCCTCCAGATTCACCACTGCCCATCACTTAATGGCAGCTGTGCCAGATTGAGAGAGGGTTTTACCTCCAGATTCACCACTGCCCATCACTTAATGGCAGCTGTGCCAGGTTGAGAGAGGGTTTTCCCTCCAGATTCACCACTGCGCGTCACTTATTGGCAGCTGTGCCAGGTTGAGAGAGGGTTTTCCCTCCAGATTCACCACTGCCCGTCACTTATTGGCAGCTGTGCCAGGTTGAGAGAGGGGTTTACCTCCAGATTCACCACTGCCCATCACTTATTGGCAGCTGTGCCAGGTTGAGAGAGAGTTTTCCCTCCAGATTCATCACTGCCAGTCACTTATTGGCAGCTGTGCCAGGTTGAGAGCGGGGTTTACCGCCAGACTCACCACTGCCCATCACTTATTGGCAGCTGTGCCAGGTTGAGAGAGGGTTTTCCCTCCAGATTCACCACTGCCAGTCACTTATTGGCAGCTGTGCCAGGTTGAGAGAGGGTTTTCCCTCCGGATTCACCACTGCCCGTCACTTATTGGCAGCTGTGCCAGGTTAAGAGAGGGGTTTACCTCCAGATTCACCACTGCCCATCACTTATTGGCAGCTGTGCCAGGTTGAGAGAGGGGTTTACCTCCAGATTCACCACTGCCAGTCACTTATTGCCAGCTGTGCCAGGTTGAGAGAGGGTTTTCCCTCCAGATGCACCACTGCCCATCACTTAATGGCAGCTGTGCCAGATTGAGAGAGGGTTTTACCTCCAGATTCACCACTGCCCGTCACTTATTGGCAGCTGTGCCAGGTTGAGAGAGGGTTTTCCCTCCAGATTCACCACTGCCCGTCACGTATTGGCAGCTGTGCCAGGTTGAGAGAGGGGTTTACCTCTAGATTCACCACTGCCCATCACTTATTGGCAGCTGTGCCAGGTTGAGAGAGGGGTTTACCTCCAGATTCACCACTGCCCGTCACTTATTGGCAGCTGTGCCAGGTTGAGAGAGGGTTTTCCCTCCAGATTCACCACTGCCCGTCACGTATTGGCAGCTGTGCCAGGTTGAGAGAGGGGTTTACCTCTAGATTCACCACTGCCCATCACTTATTGGCAGCTGTGCCAGGTTGAGAGAGGGGTTTACCTCCAGATTCACCACTGCCCGTCACTTATTGGCAGCTGTGCCAGGTTGAGAGAGGGTTTCCCTCCAGATTCACCACTGCCCGTCACTTATTGGCAGCTGTGCCAGGTTGAGAGAGGGTTTTCCCTCCAGATTCACCACTGCCCATCACTTAATGGCAGCTGTGCCAGATTGAGAGAGGGTTTTACCTCCAGATTCACCACTGCCCATCACTTAATGGCAGCTGTGCCAGGTTGAGAGAGGGTTTTCCCTCCAGATTCACCACTGCGCGTCACTTATTGGCAGCTGTGCCAGGTTGAGAGAGGGTTTTCCCTCCAGATTCACCACTGCCCGTCATGTATTGGCAGCTGTGCCAGGTTGAGAGAGGGGTTTACCTCTAGATTCACCACTGCCCATCACTTATTGGCAGCTGTGCCAGGTTGAGAGAGGGGTTTACCTCCAGATTCACCACTGCCCGTCACTTATTGGCAGCTGTGCCAGGTTGAGAGAGGCTTTTCCCTCCAGATTCACCACTGCCCATCACTTAATGGCAGCTGTGCCAGATTGAGAGAGGGTTTTACCTCCAGATTCACCACTGCCCATCACTTAATGGCAGCTGTGCCAGGTTGAGAGAGGGTTTTCGCTCCAGATTCACCACTGCGCGTCACTTATTGGCAGCTGTGCCAGGTTGAGAGCGGGGTTTACCGCCAGACTCACCACTGCCCATCACTTATTGGCAGCTGTGCCAGGTTGAAAGAGGGTTTCCCTCCAGATTCACCACTGCCGTCACTTATTGTCAGCTGTGCCAGGTTGAGAGAGGGTTTTCCCTCCAGATTCACCACTGCCCATCACTTAATGGCAGCTGTGCCAGATTGAGAGAGGGTTTTACCTCCAGATTCACCACTGCCCATCACTTAATGGCAGCTGTGCCAGGTTGAGAGAGGGTTTTTCTCCAGATTCACCACTGCCCGTCACTTATTGGCAGCTGTGCCAGGTTGAGAGAGGGTTTTCCCTCCAGATTCACCACTGCCCGTCACTTATTGGCAGCTGTGCCAGGTTGAGAGAGGGTTTTCCCTCCAGATTCACCACTGCCCGTCACTTATTGGCAGCTGTGCCAGGTTGAGAGAGGGGTTTACCTCCAGATTCACCACTGCCAGTCACTCATTGGCAGCTGTGCAAGGTTGAAAGAGGGTTTCCCTCCAGATTCACCACTGCCCGTCACTTATTGGCAGCTGTGCCAGGTTGAGAGAGGGTTTTCCCTCCAGATTCACCACTGCCCATCACTTAATGGCAGCTGTGCCAGATTGAGAGAGGGTTTTACCTCCAGATTCACCACTGGCCATCACTTAATGGCAGCTGTGCCAGGTTGAG